GTATTATATTTCTAACTACTAATTATAAACTAAGAAAGGGCAAAGGTACTTACTTTAGCCTTTATTTCTTATATAAAACTAGGTACCTTTCCCTTAGGACGGTTTCTAAGAGGTAGACATAGAATAATAGAATTACGTTGCCTAAAACCTTATGCCTACCGGTTTCTCATCATCTACACCTCTGGGCAGCTGACTCACTAATCGTAAGCCCAGAGACCAATTGCTGAGAGATGGCACAACCAAGGAAGCTTTGCCGCCATGCGTGACAACGCCACCGCCCTTGGCCGGCAAACTAGTTACCAGATTATTGGAGGATATGCGGCGCGGCGGACATGCAACCACCCAGGCACCTTCGTATAAGCTGCCATGTAACCAACTCATTACTGCACTACTTTCCTTCATTCTAAGTCGCACTAGATCACCAGATCAGCGAGCCTTGGAGGCCTAGCTAAAATCTGGCTGTACCTAAAGTCGTCTCACAAAGCCGATGCACCACGGGACCCTTTTCGGGCCGGAAAGCACGCGCGGTTTGAGCAGCATCTGCCTTATGACAGATCGCTGGACGGGAAGCCAGTTGTCCTATTTATCCCCGCTTCATCAATTCTGTGATTGGCAGCGAGCCCTGGAGCACTACTCTTCTGTCACTCTGTCACTCCATGCAATCCTCAGATAACCAAAGCACCACCATCGGCTTGCTGCTGCCGGCAGCCTATTCATGGATTCGAATCCAAATTGATACTGTCACAACCAGAGAAAAAAATTAATTATTAGGCCAGTTGGCCACACGAGTCGAGGTTGGAACTCTGCCAAACTCGATGATCGTATGCAAGTGCAATTTTCATCGTATACTCCATCTGGACGGACTTTCAATTTTTCTCGCATTTTTTTTTTTTTAAAAAAAAAGAAAAAAAAAAGAATTGGGCTGAGCCTCTGTGTGCTGGCTCGGTGTCGCCATGAGCTTCTCTCAGCTATCCTAGCATATGCTTCATCCTAGTACTGGCAATGGCCACCTCCGTTAGCCGCAAGTTCGAGCGCCTCTTGCTCAGGAAATCAAGCCTTTTATTTGAGCGGCCTTTCAAGTGAGTGTATAACCGCCGTCTACTCGGAGGTCAATGCCGTTGACGTATTTACTGTTCTCTGAGAGCAGGAAGATTACAGGTCCCATTAAGTCACCGGGATCTCCCATCTTGCCCATGGGAATTAGAGAAACCCATTTCTTCTTGAGCTCGGGGTTCTCGTCGAGAATCTTCGCTGTCCTATTATGAAAGTCCTGTTAACATTGACAAGGGTAAATAATCATAGCAAAGAAACCACTTACAGAGCTGTCATCATATATCCAGGGCTGAGACAGTTAACTCGGATGTTGGCATCAGCCCATTCAACCGCAAGAGAAGAGGCTAGATGGCGAACACCAGCCTTGGACACATTGTATGGCCTTGGCGTAGCCGGTTAGTCCTAATATAACCTTTTCTTTTGTGCCCATAAGAGTTATAGCTTACGTTTGAGGCTGGGGCACGTTGACAATAGAACCGGACATGCTGCCGATTAGGACCATACTTCCGGGCGCCTTCCGCTCCATGAGATGGCGCGCAACCGAGGTGGCAAAGAGGTAGGTGCCATCGATATTGACCGCCCACAGCTTGCGCAGGCGATCAATTGGGTAGTTGACGGCTTCGTAATTTTCAGTAAAGCCGGCAGATGTAACAAGATTGTCAATCTTGCCATGCTGCTCGATGACTTCGGCAATACAAGCGTCGACGGAGGCGGGGTCAGAGACGTCCGAAAAGTGAGCGGTAACTTTTGGGACTCTGCGGCATGTGTTGTTAGTGTGTATGAGACGGGGAGTACGAAAAGAGTAGGATATCACCCGTCAAGGCGAAGACATAGAGGAACTCACCGCGCAGCATTGGGATTCTCTCGCATGAAAGCCTTGACAAGGTTTTTGGTCTGCTTCTCAGCTTCCTCCTCTGTTGGAATGTCAGCGGAAGTGAATGATCTACCTAGTTTCTGGGTCAATTTACTATTCATATCAACCAGAGCGACGTCAGCACCAGAGTACACCATGCCTTGCGCAATGACAAGGCCCAGACCTCGGGCGCCTCCAGTGACGAGGCCGACCTTCTTGTCCAGAGAAAAGGTCTGGAGCGTCGGCTTCACGTACTGGCCACCCGCACGGTGGACGGGGTCGCTTGGGAGCTCATTCTCGGGGGGGAAGGGGATCTCGATGTCTGAATCGGTCTGAGAATGACTGCCAGGCTTGTTGCGACGGGGCGGCCCGTCATGGAGGGCACGGAGGGCAACAAGCGACTGGCACATGCGCGCAGCGGCACAGCGGCGGGTAGCAGTGCGCACGATCGGCATCAAGCGCGAGGCCATTGTTTTGATTGAATCTTGGGGCCTGGAGCGTCAATTTTGAAACGATGCGCCCGGATTTGAATTTCGGCAGTTGCGATTTCACGCAGAGCTGGGAGAGTGAACTGTTTAACTAACTAGTCAACTAAGGGCACCGCCAGCTAGGCTAGCGCAGATCGGTGACGACAGAGAGTCGATGGCGGTCGGGAGTGCGGCAGAACTGAGCAACGGAGATGACAAGCGATATTCTGAGTTGTATGACTAGAAAAGGGATAACAGACGCAGAGAAAATGGATGCAGACGGAGTTTGAAAGTGGACACTTGGGAGAAGTAGCTACCGAGTAGCATGGGCTGGTCATAATTGAGCAGCTATTCATCGGGTCCAAGAGAAGGCTTTCTAGCGCACATCTAATCCATCTAATGGTTCTAATGGCCGCTTACTCTCGTACCTAGTTGCGGCGAGTTCATCTACCCTTGGACCCCTCCTTTCTGCTATATCAGCGAAGCTTTTCACGCAAGTGCACGCCTTGAGCTCTCCCAGTCTTAGACTTCTAGTACACATAACCTTACTAGCGGGCTATACTGTAGAAATTCGTGTCTACTAGTAGGTCTATCTACTAACATCTATAAGTTCTTGATTATCATCTTAAGACGGCCGACTAACTTAGTGTGTAACATCTATATTTTAAAACTATTTAGAGGTACATAGATTCCTAGGTCAAGAACAGCAAAGGCCTATCTTATAACCCTTCTTAACAGAGGGAAAATATTAAACGTAAAATCTATACTCTATTATATAAAAAGGACTAGAAACTAACCCTACAACTAATTTATTCCCTTTTAGATAGACACTAACTATATAAGCTTACTAGCTATAAGACTTAGCAGCCCCTTACGTTAACTCTTTATATTACTAATATAAGTATTAATACTCTGAGAAACTATATAAGGCCTACTAAGTACTTATCGCTATTATTTCCTCTGTCCTAGTCTACTTCTCTAGAATTAAGCTCTATACCTAGTTCTAAAATAATTAGCTATGCCCTAGAGTACTTAGCTATATATATACCTTTATAAGTTGGTCAGTTATACTTAGTATATCTGTATATCACCGCCTAATTACCCTGTTGATGATTGGCAGAAAATCGTTAGGTCACTATATTTGTCATAAGTGGTAAATGTGACAGAAAATAGTTCACCAAGCACCAAATAGCATAATAAGGAATCTATCACATGCCATCTTCACCGGAGTAGGCCTAACCCTTTTTAAATGACGAATGAGGTCGCGATCCGTTCAATATTCAAAGACACCGCTCCCATTTTGCGGCTTTTGCATAGCTAGCTATCCGTCTCTTCTGCCAGCGCAAGCAGCCGCATCCGGCTCCGTGGCTAACAACTTCGCTAAACGCCCTGGCAAGAGGGCAGTACTAAAAGAGGCAATTTATAAATGATATATGTAAAATTGAGATGAATTGACAGAGACGATACAGACGAAAAAGACAAGAAATTCGATAACAAAGATGGAATTGAGAAGGATGGAAAACATAAAGATACAGGCAGATCATACACTGCCTCCGCTGTGCGCCGCTCATGATAACTTTCCAAGTGTATCTTCACATGGCTACTACGCCAATCGCTAGAACATTGCCGCCCTCCCCCACTTGTCCTATTTCTTAGGCGTACTGTTTATTGAAAGCGCGGCCAATGACCATGCGACGGATTTCTGATGTACCCGCGCCAATCTCATACAATTTGGCACTAGAAGACGATGGTTAGCAAGTGAACAAAAAAGTTTATCGTTTGTCTGAATAACCTCAGCACTTACTCTCGTAGCAAGCGCGAGGCCGGCATCTCCTCCACATATCCCATACCGCCAAGAAGCTGGATGCAGTCCAAGGAGCACTCCGTAGCGCGCTCGGCCGCGTATAGAATAGCACCAGCGCAGTCCTCAGTGCGAATCTTGCCCTGCTCGTCGACAACGCGAGCCGTCGCGTACGTGTATGCCCGCGAAGCTTGAAGCTTGGTGTGCATATCGGCCAGCTTGCCCTGAACAAGTTGATTGTGGGCGATTGGCTGGCCAAACTGCTTACGCTGGTGGCTGAATGGAAGGGCAACATCAAGAGAAGCCTGCATGAGACCTAGAGGACCAGCGCTGAGGACCAGGCGCTCCAGATCGAGGCCCTCCATCAGCACGCGCACGCCGCCGTTGACCTTGCCGAGGATATTCTCCTTGGGAACGAACACGTTGTCAAACATGAGCTCGCCAGTATTGCTGCCACGCATCCCCATCTTGTCGAGCTTGCGCGCACAGCTGAAGCCCTTGGCGGTGGTATCAACAATGAAGGCAGTAATTCCCCTGGAAGCCTTCTCGGGCTCTGTCTTGGCGTAGACGACAATGACATTGGCATCGGGGCCATTGGTAATCCACATCTTGGAGCCGTTCAGAACGTAGCCACCGTCAACTTCTTTGGCGGTCGTGCGCATGCTGACAACGTCGCTACCGGAGCCCGACTCGGACATTGCCAGGCCACCGATGCTAGTACCAGCTATCAGGCCGGGCAGATATTTTTCTTTCTGTTCTGGCGAGCCGTTTAGCTGCAGCTGGTTGACGCAGAGCTGGGAATGCGCAGCGTAGCTTAGAGCGATCGATCCGGACGCGCGCGAGAGCTCCTCCATGACGATACAGTGCGCTTGGTAGCCCAGGCCCAGCCCGCCGACATCCTCGTCGGCCGTGATGCCCAGGAAGCCCGCCTCGCCCAGCTTCTGCCACATCTCGTTCGGAAAGGCGTTGGACTTGTCCGTGTGCGCGGCGACTTCCTCTGAGATCTCACGTCGCGTGAATTCTTGCACACGCTCACGAAGCTCCTCCAGATCCTCCGTGGCCGGCGGCTTGAAGCCAATAGGGTGCTTGGACGAGTGCAAACGGGACTGCATCGAGGTTACTGCGATGGTGGGACACGATTGCCTGGCGACGGGGCGCGCCAGGACTCTGAGGGCCTTAAAGCTGGACATTGTAAGTTCGGACGGTCGAGATTTGCGTCAAGGAAAATACTCGGCTTCCAAAGAGGGATTGATAGACATCAAAAGCGGTAGGAAAATACAGAGAGAAGAGTTTGTAGACCCGAGCCGCGGGACCAGCAAAACAGTGCCGGTTCCCCGGATTCTGGGGACCGAGTGCGTTCAGTAGCTCACGTGTCGGCTTAATGCGGCTTGATGCGGCGACCCGGCTACCCCGGGTTTCGCGGTCGCGATGGGCTCGGCTTAAGTCCCCAATCGTGTGCGAAACGCTGCAATTTCTCTTCCTCAAAATCTTCCAGAACCGCAGCACAAAAGGCGGAACAGGTCAATCACCCAAGTACAAGAGCTCTCTTCAAAGAACCACTTATCTGCGGCTGCGATTCTCGTTCTTCCTCTACCATCGCAGCACAACAATGTCCTTCTCGCGACCCTCACAACAGGCGATGCGCCTAAGCCGTCAGCTCGGCCGCCAACCCCCCGCCGCCAGAGTCAACTGGCAACTGCGCAGCGTCGCCAATCTCAGCTCGCCGCACCAGGCAGCCGCCATTTCGCGAATCCAGAGCAGTGTCGACACTTCTTCAGACGAGTACAAGGAGAACCGGAAGCAAATGGCCGAGGTCATGACACAGATGCAGGACCTCTCCACCAAGATCCAGCTGGGCGGCTCGGAAAAGGCACGCGCCAAGCATCTCGCTCGCAAGAAAATGCTGCCCCGCGACAGAGTCACCGCACTCATTGACCCCGGCACAACGTTTATGGAGCTGTCGCCAATAGCTGGCTACGAGCTGTATCCCGAGGCCGAGGTCCCCGCTGGTGGCATCATCACCGGTGTAGGTGTCGTTGAGGGCGTCACCTGCGTCATTGTTGCCAACGACAGCACTGTCAAGGGCGGCACATACTACCCTATCACAGTTAAAAAGCATCTACGTGCTCAGGCAGTTGCTCAAGAAAACAAGCTCCCGTAAGAAAAAATCTGGTGCTAGGCATCGATGTCCTTGATCATTTCAAGCCCGCTAACACTCCGCATCCCTTTTTAGCTGTATCTACCTCGTCGACAGCGGTGGTGCCAACCTGCCTCACCAGGCTGACGTTTTTCCCGATCGCGACCACTTTGGCCGGATCTTCTATAACCAGGCGCGCATGAGCTCCAAAGGCATACCCCAGATCGCCGTAGTCATGGGTCCTTGCACAGCAGGCGGTGCCTATGTACCCGCAATGAGTGACGAAAGCATCATTGTCCAGGAACAGGGCCACATCTTCCTCGCTGGCCCTCCTCTCGTCAAGGCTGCGACCGGAGAACTTGTTAGCCACGAAGACCTCGGTGGTGGTAAAATGCACTCTTCCGTCTCCGGTGTAACCGACTACCTGGCCGTCGACGATGCCCACGCTATTATTCTCGCCCGCCGCTGCATCAGCAACCTGAACTGGCCCGAACGCTCCGCCGCTACGAATCCGCCTGCCAAGACCTTTTCTGAGCCTCTTTACGACCCGGAAGAGCTCCTCGGCATCGCCACGACCAACCTGCGCAAGCCAATGCCTATTCGTGAGATTATTGCACGCATCGTTGACGGCTCCGCATTCTCCGAGTTCAAAAGAGACTACGGCACTACCCTGGTGACCGGCTTTGCCGAGATCTACGGTCATAAGATCGGCATCGTCGCCAACGACGGCATTCTCTTTGCCTCCTCCGCCATCAAGGGTGCTCACTTTGTTGAGCTCTGCACTCAGCGTGGCATTCCTCTCGTCTTCCTGCAAAATATCTCTGGCTTCATGGTCGGCTCTGCTTCCGAGCGTGAGGGTATCGCCAAGCACGGCGCCAAGCTTGTTACCGCTGTCGCTTGCGCCGACGTGCCTAAGTTTACTGTTGTTGTCGGCGGTAGCTACGGCGCGGGCAACTACGGCATGTGCGGCCGCGCATACAGTCCGAGATTCCTGTGGATGTGGCCGAATGCTCGCGTCGGTGTTATGGGTGGTGAGCAATTGACTGCTGTCATGGAGACTGTTGGACAAAAGGTCGACCCCGAACTGCGAGCCAGAATCGATCGCGAGAGCGACGCAACCTTCTCTTCCGCTCGACTTTGGGTAAGTCCCGAAACAAAAACTTCACAGGGGCCATATTTCTTTTGTCGGCACGCACTAATCTTGTTGAAATTGAAATAGGATGACGGTATCATTCCCCCGCAGCATACCAGACATTACCTTGGACTAGGTCTGAAGGCTGCTATGGCCGGTAGAAACGAAGTCAAGGCAGGTGATACCAAGTTTGGTGTCTTCAGAATGTAAATTACTATGTATAGATAGAATTGAAGAGAAAAGAGCGAAATCATTTAGAAAAGATGCAGCCAACGAGCGTTTCGTGTTGCACAAGCCACAAAAAAGACGTCACAACACTATTGATACATTTCTTGCCAGATTCGGCGCTGAGACGGATGTCTCCGGTATGATATGAACTTGTGTGATTGAAAGCGTCGCGCAGTGGCAGGGCTTTCTTCTGGATTCTTCAGCAGATGTAATATGGTATCTAGTCAGGAGCAACTCAACGCCGGTGCCGTCATCGCTTGCGCGGCTATAAACAGGTCATGGCAAAAACAAATTAAACAGTACATTACAATCCTTATACAAGAGTCCTTCCTTCCATTTGAATTTGCAATCGCATCGTTATACGGGCCAGGTTCCGCGGCCGCATCTGTTATTTGCTCACCCCGCCTTGGCTCCTATTCCTCCAAGAAGCCCATTTCCCAGGTCGATATGAAAATCGACGAGGTTGATGGAACTGCCATTACCAATAGTAATATTAGAAGCTTGTTTTTGGGTAATTTTCGGACCGTTGACAGCGTCCGATGCAGTGATTTTTGTGAGAAAAGCCTGCACGTCACTCTGCGCATCTTGTGCAGTGTTCACATCTTGCTCCTGGAGAACAAAGAGTACTGAAACCCGACAGAAGTCAATAACAGTGTCCGTAACATTGAAAGGCTCTTGTTCATTGGTACGAGCATGCAAAGTGCCTGTCGCAGTTTCTGGGCTACCCAGTCGTGGGTTCGAAAGTGTGGTGTCGGTTCCGAAATCATTGCTTATTTGTGCGGCCCAGTTAGCTTGAGCTTGTCGCGAGGCCCTCCTCGTTTTCGGAATTGCCTGTGTTTTCGAAGTAGCTTGAGTGGAGCGACCATTAAACGTAACAAGTGAATTTTGCGCAATGCAGGAAAGACCGTTAGCGTTGATCTTGGCCAGTATCGAAGTGCCTGAGAGTGGGACGGAAAAGGTAGAGTTTGCCTCGGCAATAAGTCTTGGAATCGATTGACCAAGAGTTACGTTCTTTATCGTCGATGTCCTGTCTATAGAAACAATGTCGGTGGTCGTGCACCCAACTGATGCAGCAGTGGCGCAATTTGGGCCTGTGAAACCCCCACTGCATATGCAAGAGCACGTTCCGCTAGAAATGACGTTGGTGCCGCCGTTGAGACAAGTAAGATCTTTCCGGCACTTGTCAATTCCAGTGTTGTCGTTTGCTGAGCCACTCTTGTTGAACACAAAAAGCTCAAGGGGCACGACAATAGCCGCAACAATGACACAGAGAAGCAGGATCGTGGCCACAATGACTGCCCAGAGTGGCAGCCCACAGCAACGGCGTTTGGATTTCACACTCTTCTTTGCTTTCTCGGTGCCACTTTTGGGCCCAGACCTCAATGGCCAGCCACCTTGCCCGAGCCACGAGGATCGATTTGGTCCGTTGTTAAATTGAGGTGTCGATACTGGTGGCGGAAATGCTGCAAGCATATCGGAAAGCCCAGAAGCCGGACGCCCACCTGAATAAGTTAGGTTAGCGGGACAGTGGAAGCACGATAATGAAGAGAACAGCTCACCTCGAGTATCTCCACGTCCATCTGAGCTTGATTGCTTCTCGCCGAGGAGGTCGCTCAGATTGTCCATTCGACTGGTGGGTCGCTTGCCTTTGTCGATCATGGCAGCAAGTTTGGTTGCTCTTCGGATCAGATCTGGTAAGCTGGTAAGGCTACCGCGTGATTCAGCCTCCCTTACTGCATCCATGTCGATACGAAGTCCTCGTTTCATGGCTGAGCTGCGAGTATTGTTTCCTGACAGGTTCGAGGCAAAGCGAAAATCAGCGGTAGTGCCGGAACTCGCTGCAGCGTATGCCTGGATAATGTCTTCCCTGCCAGGTTGATCACCGGCTTCTCCAAGAGGCTGACCTGAAATTCTTCTCGCAGTACCTAGGACATTCCGAGACGTGCTCTTACCGTTGACTGCCAAGGCTTGAGTGCGGTTCGTAGTGGCCACCTGCTGCTGATTCGAGACGGCGACAGGAATTGCGGCAGAATCGAGCTCGACTGGTTGGACCAGCCGTCTTTCATCACCGAAGTCTCCGTAGATAGACTCTGGGCTGGCATCCGTCACGGATTCGTCATAAAATGTTTCCACATTCGTGGTGCGATTGTTTCCGGCAACAGAGCCCCAGTTCTCTGGCATGGCAGCACTAGAAGCGTATGAGCCGTGAGACCGTGAATAAGGGGTCTCTTCAATGATGGGAGAGACGAAAGAGGCGTTGGAGTAGAAAGACGACGCGCCTCTCCGACTAGAAGGGGGGGGACCAAGAATGACACCCTTTTTCTGCTGAATCGCCGGGCTCATAGGATTGATGGAAGGAAGCTCTGTTAGGTAGCCAGCACTGGGCGAAGGCTGTACAAAGGAGTACTGTGAGCTGGGGGAAAGCTGGCTATAAATGCTTTCCTGTGGGCTTTTGGCGGTTCGCACGGGCGCAATGAACAGGGGGGTGGGCTCTTGGAGACGAGCTTGGTCAACCATGGAAGGAATTCGGCTGGGTCGAGGGGGCCTCTGAGGTGCTTTCGGAGGCCTGTTGGCAGGAGGCCTGTATGAAGCAGGAGATGCAGTACTGCCCGTTGGAGATGGGGTCTCGGGGGCCGAAAATTGAGGCATCGGAGTCGGTCTGGAAATCATCTTCCCAGGTCCGCCGTCGTGCTGTGCTATGCCTTTCTGCCTGAGATTTCTGGAAGCAGGGAATGGTGGCGACTCTGCTGTGCCCGCTGCGTCAGGATACATTGGTATGGGATCTTGTGTCTGTCTTTGCTGCCGCTGCTCAGCCTGCATTCGTGCTCTGGCAACGGAGCCCGGTTCTACCGTTGGTGGATCCATTCTGCCATCATGATACCTATCACCCATCTAGCTTGCCGCTGTATACTAGACAGTAAGGAAGGCGTTTCGGAGTCTTGGTACAGATGAGTGGTACAGAGCCTGCAGTGCAAGTTGAGTTTCGGCGTGAGAACAAACACAACTGCAGTGTCCGTGGCACAGCGGAGGACAGCGCTAGTTGGAGGCTGTTGTTTGTCTCTGTGAAGTTGCACTAGTTAGTGTAAGGATACAAGTGCACGATTATCGTATGGTACGGGAGCAGCGAGACGACAATTAAGAACATCCTTGTCTGAGAGTTTTCAACGGCGGTGAGGAATCAGTGAAACATTGTGCCAAGATTGAAATGCTTACCTGACGGGTGCGAGAGGCTCGCTCTCGGAAAATGAGAGACAAGAGGGTGATCAGCCGGTTCTGTCTGCGCGCCGCACCAGGAGGCAAAATGGCTTTCCAATTCGTGGAGAGTGCGGTTCTGGGCAAAGTTGAAAAGAGCTCGAGGGGTTGGCGGCCGTTTCCACGAGTGCAACAGCGAATCTACTCGCCCACTGTCAATGCACACACGCGCGTGGTTCTGGCGCCCGCTTGACCAACGAAGCAGTGTAACTTCACAGCAGTAGAACTATCGCTGCATACTAACGATGCTGCAGCGTTTGAGAGGCGAGAGATGCGCTGTACAGAGGTGCCTGTGTCTGCGTGAGGGAAAGCCGTGGGTGGTGAGTACCGAGTGAACACGAGGCCGCTGGTGATAGGGAAAATGACTGGCGGGATAACGGCGGACAGAGATGGCAGCGGTGGCTGCTAGAATGAATGGACTAGGCAAGTACGATGCCCAAAGACGGGGGGGGGAACGATTGGAAGAAGACAATGGAGTAAGAAAGGAGCGTTGGAGAAAGAGTGGCAAGCTATGCAGTGCGAGAAAGGAATGATCTGGAGAAAATGAAAGGACGAGGAGCCAGCTCAGTCATGGAAAGCAGGTGGTAAGTACCTAGGTATGTAGGTAGGTAAGGTAGGTAGGTAAGGTAGGTAGGCTCCGTTCACTGGCGTTGGAGAGTGGCACCACCTGTGTGTTGCTTGTTGGATACGGCGCACAGCCCTCTGCGAGAACGAGGACCGGCAGGCTGGCGGGATGCGCACAAAAAAGAAGATTACAGATTGGCCGGCAGAGAGAAAAGGGAAGGAAGGAATTAAGCATTGAACAAGTGGAAATAAAAAGCTGGATCTAGATGGCCATTGCTTCAGGAGGATGAGCCCAGCAAACTGAGGGCCTTAGGTCACCCTGTGATTTAGCTTGCCCCGGAGAGACGACGACGCGGTCCAACGACAGCTGCGCAACAAGCACCAGGAAAGAACAGGTAGAAAAAGGCGCAGGCAAGCACCGCAATCCGCTCCATGTCACAAGTGCTGCGAAGCGATCCCGCGATCGCCCTGGGCAGTCCGTAATACTCCATTGGGCGAGAAACAGCAAGGGGCCATGGGGCCAAGGTTGCAGGGGCCATGGGTTTGTCAGGGGTCTATCTGCTTGAGCCTCGAAAGGTTGCTGTAAGGCGGCCTGTGAAGTCAATCGACAGACTGCCAGAGAAGCCACATAGTTGAAGACATATTTAGGCACTTAAGAGGTACAGATACACCAGTCTATGATTCCAAATTTCAATTTGTTAATGCTGCTATATCACTACTCCGAGATAGGTAGGTAGTCTTGGCAGCATGACAGGGAAACTGACCTGCAGCTTGTTTCGCGTTGAGGAGGAGGGGCAAAGCGGCACACAGGCAGGAGATATACTATCTTGTATTATTGTGTTAATGTACTATTCCATTTTGTCGTCTTATTCTCCTTCCCGTGCTATTTGCATTGCTTTGTCTCCGCAACAAGCTTGACACGAAAGGCAAAGCACCTTCGACCGCCGTTCTATTCAACATTCACCAGTAATAAGCGGTCAGTCCAGCCCTTGTCACACTTGACTGTGGTGTCCAGAGGATAAGCACGTATTTGAGGGCACTCTACCTCGATATATGATCCTGTGCCACCACTGAATCCTCTTAAATGTTCATCTCCACCGTCTTTTTAGATTGCGTACTCCTCGACGGGGTCAGAAGACAGAAAGGAGCAGGATGGCATGATGCATCCTCGATCTGCGACGCCGTGGCTTGTTCCAAGTTGAGACGGACCCAGGACTTTGTCCAGTCGCAGGCTGGGCTCCCTTCAGCCAAGCACTTCGCATAGTGTCCTGTCGCAGATGTCCGTAACGTTGGCCTGGCAAGTCCAGGCTTCCCAGCAGCTGTGGCACAGACCCGCAACTTGACCTTTAGGCCTTTTTGCGTGCGCCACTGATCCGTTTTTTACTCTATTTTGAGAGGGCTCGAGGGCTAGCCAGCAGTTCAGTCCAATTGGGTCGCAAAGCCCCCTTGCTCGCAACGGCCAAAATCCAAAACACTAGCGTCTTGTCCGGCTTGTTCCTGCATGTACAAATATCCAAAAGGGCGTAGCACCACTCCTCACGACTGGGTCCAACTCGGAATTGCCCTCTTTCATGATTATGAATATTATATTACTATTATTGTTATGCTCCAATCATTTGTCAACGAACACCGCCGTCTTTGCCAGGAGTCAGCTCTATTTTGCGCTTGCTAGGAACGCGTGACAACCAAGAGCTTTAAAAGAGCTCTTGACGGAGCGAATTGACTTCCATTAAATTTATTCCCCAGTATATTAGCATGCCGCACCGCTTTTCTGCTCATTGCCTCCATCAAGGTGTTGGTTGGGTTGGTACATCTTTGGCCATGTACTGGGGCCGTGACAGTCATTGGCTGCTAAGAAGCAGTCTTTCGAAGGACGCAAGAGCAAACGAAGGGGGCTTTTCCGTCTGATATATTTGATCCTGCCCTCGAATCATCGTTCATTTCATTAGAACCGTGCACTGCTGACAGTTTCTGCGCCTTTATTGAAACGGCAGGCATCTGGTACTCACCGGGCTTTCTAGCCCATTTCATTTCTATAGAGCGCTTCCTTTTTGCTCAGTAGATCAGGCCAAATAAAATACTTCTTCGAGGTTCATCCACCATTCCCCTGTCTCAGAGCTCACGGCACCGTCTACCGGGCTCTCTTGGTAACTATCCGTCATCTTCCACCATTCCCGCATTTTTGGGTTCTCCGCCATGCGGCGCATGTCGCCCTCGAAATCAGTCCCGACGTACCTCAGCGAGGCAAACAAAAGCTCGATTATTTCGTCATACCAGATGGAGTCTTAGATTGGTACACGTTGTGTGTGGTTGGCTTGAATTATACACGCAAATCGTGCATCGGTGGGCGGGCTACCCGCTACTCAATAGAGGGTTGTGCTCTTGGATCGGGTCATCGATATTGTGCTCCCTAAGATGACTTGAAGTCTTCAATTTTACTGTCCCTGACCTACTTTAAGACCTCCGGCCAGGCGTTGGCGTGACAAGCCTTGTAATTCTTCACACGCAATCTTGCCTGAGACGAATGACCTGGCCAAAACGTCTCACCGGAGTTGGTCGGGGCATTGCTACACCTGCTTTAAACAAGGAATATCAGTCCTGTGTATGCCACTTTTCTCGCTCTCAGTACTCCGCGACTGTTTGGGAAATCGACCGGAAGCTATCATTCGTCGCCAAGTCCGCTTCCCTGCGGACTTGGATTCTGAGGATATAGCCTGTAGGGTAGCAGTGGCCCTGTGTAGGCCTCCAATATTTGAGTTGGTACCTACGTGACTCTCCTGCCGCGATCCAGACACGTAGCTTTACATAGTAGGCGCTGATGCAGGCACGTGCAGACCAACCATTCCGATGGACAAAAATGATGAGGCTAGTAAAATTCACATGAGGTGGCACGTATGGATAGTAAAGATACAAGAAAACGGTCGATACATTGATATATCTCAGAGAGCAGCCGCAAGACGCAAGCAGATAAATTTAAAAAATCACCAACCAAGTCGTTCCGGACCAGGTCAGACTCCTACAGCGGACCCAGGGTCTTCCTCAACCGGTGTGAAGAACGAGCTGACAGCGCGCAAAGCACGCATGCATGCGAACCGCCTTGAAATACGACGAGGCACAGATCTGAAAGCGACGCGACCACGGTATCTGGGGTATACAGTGGATTTGAGCAATGTTAGGCCATGAGCTGTGCCTTCTCCGCCGTGGTGGCCTGTTCATCATGCACCGCTTTGTAGAATTCGCTCTCTTGCTCGCTGTTTCGCTTCCCACGAACAAAGCTGCTGAGGTGCCTGGCCATACTTTGAATGCATAGTGCGAGGCTGGCTAAGTTAGTATGCGACTGAGACAGCGCGAAACGAGTCAATACGTACAATGCGACAGCGACGCCAGCTGTGACTCCCATGAATATAGGCATGATGATATGACCGGCGACGCTCTTCATTAGATGACGCCATTCCTCCTGAGAGGGCATGGTTGGCTCGGCAATCTCAGATGTATATTCCTTCTGAGAAAGGTCGATATCAGGTGAGATCATGCCCTCGCCATCGGAGTCCAGCTCCGGAGTGCCCGCCTTGCTACAACCCTTCATTCCCTGAGCCTGCGCCCACAACTTCCCTACTAGTTCCTTTGCGCGACACCAGAGTGTGGTGCATGGTGTTTCAAGCGGCTGATCGAGTCGCACAGTGAACATGGCAAGACTCCCACCAGGGGCTTTGATGAGCTCGACCCTAAGAGTGGGAATGCGACTCACAAATCGCGTGCCGACTTCAATGATCTTCAGATCAACCTCGATCAGCTCTATGTTGTCCTCCTTTGCGACGGCTTTTGGGTACACAGCGAGGCTGTAGCCCAGCTTCTGGCTCTTTGACTTCCTGTGGCCGTCAACGGAGAATGCTTGTAAATCGCCGCTCCATGGATCAGCATCCGGATATAACTCGAATCCATTCAGCAATAATTTCATCTCGTCTTCGATAGTGAAATGGAGTCGCAATCGTGTGTTTCTACCTCTGCAGTCGCCACAAGGAACGGAAATGCTTTGATCAAAGGCCGAATCCGGAATACCGTAAGATGCTTTGCCGCCATGCTTCCCGATAGGTAGCGCCTTGAAAATGTTTTCGTCGTTCGTGGACATTTCTGGGACGATGGCGAACGCGGTGGCAACGGCCGCAAGCGCAAGTGGCTTGAACAACATCGTATTGAATTATATCAACCGTTGGGATCTAGCTTGGTGAAGAAATAGTTGCGATGGAAACCGGCACCATCGATGGTGACATTGAGAGAGACAAGTTGAATGGCAGGATTGGAGGGAGGGCGGCAACACAGGACTGTGCTACAGTCGAGTACGGCGCCGGAAGAGGCGGATATGGCTTGCTGCCCCACACACTGGTGACACAATCCCTTGGTCGAGAGTCGCTGACATAATGGCTACCTATACTTCGCGTATTGGTCTTACATCGGCTGGAAACCTGTGGATAGAACACGCGACACCACTCTGCTGGCTTGCGTCCCCATTAAATTGGCATTACAACATTGGCGACCAATTTTTAGATTATCAAGCTGCCAAAAAAAAAAAACGATATTCTAGCCGAGTCTCAATTCTCAGTAATTTTAAGCAAATGTGACAGCCAAGACGTAGTCAATTGATCATACGGATTCAACACACGGTTTGTTTGGAGACTCGGTGTGACCCACAATGTTGCGCGCTGTTCGATCAGCGATGCACATCAAAAATCGGGCTCTTGAAAACGATGGAGAGGCCCACTTCCTCCCCATGGATAGGTAGGGCTACCGGGCAGTCTCTTTCCCGACGCTGAAGGATAAGCCGACGCGCCATCATCCCCAACGGAGTGGGTGCGCGAGACTGTGGTCTTAAATGTTGATGGAAGGGAAATTGTCTTTGTTCCTGGTCTCGAACGTTAGCTAATTCTGCTAGTCTGGCAGTCAGACGACTCTTACCATTCAAGCTGGTGCCCATAGAGCTAGACGAGTTTCCAGCGCCAGTGTCGGCTGTGGCGCCAGGCTGAGAAATGATTTCGGTGTGCTCGCAAGTAGTGTGAACGTACGTTGGCTGAGTGTAGTCGTTTGAAGACCGGGCGGTGGTTGTATATCGCGGTGTTCCAACGGCACTGGAGTTTGCCAAAGCTGTTGGGAGATCAGTACTCCAACCACCTGCACTTTCAGCATTCGGAGGGCCGCTGCTCGCAGTTGTACGATCTCCAGGAGTGGAAAATTTTGAGGAGTTGACATTGCTCAGGGGATAAGGGGTCAAAGCCACAGTCGTAGTGCTGTTACTGTGAAGAGTTATCACTGAAGTCATATCGGCAGGGTCTCCAGTCTCCAAAGTCGTAGGATACACGGTGATGGTTATGACCTCTGTAGAGATGCTCATACTGGACGACCCGGCATTAGTAGCATTGGCCGTAGCTTTTGTAGAGCTGAGGTTTGCAGTCGAAGACGGTACAGGATACAGAGTGCTGCTAAACCGCGTGCTTGAAACATAATCTGTAGCGTTGCCGCTTGCTGGAAGTGTTGGCACCGCCGTGATAGTGGCTCCAGTCTCGGGCGATCCAGTATCTGGGAACCCGCTTAGGGTGATAGTAATGTTTTGAAACACTGTGCGGGTGGTGCTTGATGAAGAAGTTGATTGAACTGAGGTAGCTGCACCACTGACCTGAGAGCTGATCACTGGTTCTGGCACATATGACAAGTTGAAAGAGGCTGAAAAAGGGGAAATGCGCGAAATGGGAGTAGGCCAACCTATGGTGGATGTTGCGACTTCCTCTGACGTAGCTTGGCCAGTTGCATCTGCAGTGGTGTTTGACACGCCTGTGTAGGTTTCCTTTCGCGTTATGGTAATAATGCTGACTCCGGAAGACGTAACAGGGCGCATAGAGGTAAAATTCTGGCTGGATATGGTTTTAGCAGTCGATGCCACATTATCAGGTGATGTTGAGGGCTGCACAGTGGTTCGCTGGGTAGAAGAAGAATTATGACTGATGGACAAGGTGACGGTGTGTAGGGACGTGATTGTGATGACCGAGATAGCGCCTTCAGAAACTGCCGAGCTAGAAGAGATGACAGAATTCTGTATAACCGAGGAGGTAGGAATTGGATAGCTGATTTCTGTAGGCTTCGAAATGCCTGAGATGAAGTTTGTCACCGTGATGGTGACAGTCTCGTCTAGATGAGTATCTGTTTGTGAAACTGCGTCGTGTTTTGTATTAGACACTGAAGTGGTCGATGATGACAATGTTTCTAGATTGGAAGAATCTTGGGAGACAGCAGTAGATGTGGATTCTATCACAGGACCATTGCTCATTCCAGGAGATCTGGGCTCGGTAGTGGCGCTAGATGAGTGTCGGTCGAGGGTCAAAGAAGAGTTGGACGGATCGCCAGCGCCACCACCCAGTGTAGCGGTCGGGAAAGGGTCTGACTCAAGTTAAATTGGAAAGCTCCACGCAAAAAAAAAAAAAAATGCGAGCGGTTTCTTACAAGTAGCCGCAGATGCGGTGGTAGTGTCCGTGTTGGAGAAGTCATACGCAGCCGGAGAGTCGTAGTCATCATCCGTAGTCGTTGCAACCGAGCCGAAAATAGCACGATTGATGATTGACGCGCGATGAAAGGGTCTCAACACCGATTCATGATCTCCATTGCGGTAGCAGCTAGACAGGACGGCGAGGCAGGACAGGACGAGGAACGCCCAGAGCCCCTTCGAAGTGCGATGGTATCTCATTGCTGGAAAGGATACAATACAATCTTGTCTGAATAGTTAGAGTTTATTTCTTTTGCCGAAGAAGAGCGAAGACGAAGAATGCATGCCTTGGATAATTACTATTGTGTGGAACAATTCCAATCTTCAATGAAATGGCGAAGTGAGGGTTGGGGAGGAAGAGTCAGCAGCGTGAATGGAAATGGGATTTCTTTCAACAAAAAAGTCTAATGCTGATCTGAATTGAAGACTCAGCTTCAGAGAAGAATGTGAGTTGATTGTGAGAACAGAGTTTTCACTTCTGAGGCAGGCAAACGGCAAGAGTGGTAGCTCCGGGCGTGAAGCGCCCCGGCAAACGGATTAACGGGAATAGAAGCTGTAGCTTTATATAATACAAGACTACAGTACAGTGATATTGTCAAAGACGGCTAAGATATCGGCAGAAATTTCTTCTTCAGGAAACTCCAAACATCTACGGGAATATTTTGCCGACTCGCCCTCATTCCCGCAGCCCAGTCGGACAAGTAGGTACGATAGAATCGGAATGTTTGCATTCGTGTAAAAGATAGTGAACTGCAAAGAGATCTTCCAAGCCATTCTCTGGATCGAGGCTTGCCATGATTGCTCTCGGCGTGTCGGGTATACCAGGCCTGCTGTGCCACCCAGGTAGCCGAAGTGCAAGCTTTGCTGCGAGGGATATTATGTACAACAAGATGTGTTTGTTAACCTGTCAAACACTGCTGTTTGTCTGCGACCGAGAATGGAGCATGCCTTTTTCATGAATCGCGATGTACTGGGAAGATGTGTCATTCAAGCTTGAAAGGAGAATGTATCTCGACAAGACTCAACATATAAGATTGACAATATGACGGAATGCATTTATGTTACTTGAGCTAGGTTGTGTGACTCCTCGGGTCCGCGCTTGAATAAGATCGGGCATGATTCGTTATCACGATTTTCTTGGCAAACGGTGCGCGCTCGTAGCCACTATATATATTGCAACTGAATGAAGTTGTTCATCCCTGGCCATGGAGCTATTCAGCTATGACTTAAGGCAGTTGTTTCGTGCTAGCGGACGACGTACTTTGCAGAAATAGAGTCTGATACTTGGCAAGCTGTACTCACCAGGCATCGACCTCTGAGTGATGTGATCGATCAACTTGACAGCTCTGCCCTCTTGGTCTGCCACCGGGGAGTAACGTCCTATCTACTAAAGTCCCCGCATACTCTTCAGCTTCCCAACAAGTCAGTCTCAGCTAATCTCAGCTGAATGAGAGGGATCTAACAATCTGTGGCAGATGACTCGCTGCCGAATAGATCCCGGAGTGTGACCATCTTGCCGGACAGCCCCGTGAGGCTGTTTGTTAGATGGTGGGGTTGTAGTGCTAAGAGGCTACGGTGCTGATTATATATTATTTCGGCAATCTCTTGCAACGATGAGACCATGAGACGTTTCAGACCAGATATAACCATTTGTCATTTGTAAAACAACCAACTTCGTCTTCTACAACACGCGAATGTCCTTTCAATCATGGCCGATGAGCTGAGATACATGCCAAATGACCAGCCGCTTCAGGCGCTGTCGAAGACCCCCCAGGAATTTTCCCAAATCGCTCTGGAGGAATTTGTTGACAAAACAAAAGTACCGACCACTTTTGAGCAAGAGCAGCTTGTAGGAATTTTCGCTGGGTTTACTGGTATTCCGTACATGTTTCTTCAGCTGTCCGAGCTGCACCCCGACGTGCAAGTTAACGGCGAAAACCCTCGCCAATTAGCTGAGCGCTACATCACAATTGGCGCAGATGTCACCTGAATTGAACAAGATATTGAATGTGGTCTCATAAGTGAAAAACTCGGTAGAGAGGCTTTGACTGCCTGTCTGTCGGGAGAAGAGAACGACTTGGAGCGTTTTGTTGCCAGCACTATCGGCGCAGCTAGTCCGTCTTTAAGGGCAGACCAACAACTCGCCAACGAAATACTGTATGGAAGAGCAGGTGTTGTGTTTCTTCTCCGATTGGTTCGCCATTGGGTGCCCAGGAGCACGGCAAGGCTAGATGCGCAGATGAAGGCCATTGCAGCTCGTATCATGGAAGCCAACAACCACGGCCAGGGTAGCTGGGCATGGGCAAACCGGCGGTTAATTGTTGCTGTTCATGGAGATATTGGGATAATCACGCAATTGGTACTGTGCCTACCCGGATTGGCATCTAAACTCGAGCCGCATCTGCTTCGACTTCTGGCCCTTCAGTTCAATGATGGAAATTGGCCAAAGTTCATGGGCGAGGGTGAGACGGAATCTGATGTTGTCCAATTTTGCCACGGCACTCCAGGCTTTGTGATTAGTCTACAAGCGTTACGACCCTACTACCCTCACTTAAGTGTTGCTCTTGACGAGGCAATTGCTAAGGGGATCGAGCTTATCTGGGCTAAAGGTCTGCTTCGCAAAGAACCGGCATTGTGCCATGGAGTATCAAGGAAATGCACTGTGAGTACATTTTCGAATGAAGGACGTGACCAGAAACTGCTGACCCTTGCACGCAGAGCTTTACCACAAGGAGGAAGACATGAGCATTTCTTGTCGCTCGTCTAGTTTCAGGCAGTCGAGGAACTGGAACAAAAGGATTCGAAAATGTTTGGCAGGGCCATTATGGTCTGAAATATTGTATCCCCCTGAATTATTCGATGAGTTCGGTCTGGGCGTGGGGAGCCTGTGAGCAGGACTGCCCTCCATTTTTGCTTTCAGTGACGTGTAGCTTGCTAGTACGTTAGAATGACAGCGCTAGACTGCCATGACAAACGGCAGATTCTGAATGAGACGATATGTGCGTCATGAAGGTGTTGTGGACTACGCGACGATTATTGTGAGACGACATCTCGATTGGTGTGGTGTGTCTACCATGCAATAACTATTAGCGCGCATTGTACTAAAAAGCCAGAGGGGATATCGATCGAGTAAAAGAGAAGCCGAATGTTGCATCCGGGCAAGTCTGAAATTAGTGTTTTCATGTTGGGCGTCTGGCGCGGCGCTGGCGCGGCGCTGGCAACGGACATAGCCATAGTGCACGCTTATAAGAGGGCAACGATGATAAGCCTTGGTCGGTAACATCGCACGCTAGCGAACTAATTAGTTAATTAGCCACTTTTGGTTTGCAGGTCCTCCGTTTAAGCCAGGACTGTACGGACTAGGCTATCTGTTCTTCTGTGGACATTACCATCACTGTATCATCAGCCCATGGAAATACCAAGTACAGTTTAGATGCGAGATGACAGTACACTTAGGCCTCGAAATCGTTTGTATTGGATCCCGCGGACTGTGCGTGGATGTTATGGCTGCCATTCAGCAGTTCCGAGAAGCCGAAACTGTCATTGCAATTTAGAGTTCGAAGTAGCGAATAGAAGCACTCGATTGAGAAACATGAGGTATTGCTCTACTGTAAAAAGTAGGCAACAAGATGGACTGTCCCAGTATCGGACTGTCTATTGAACAGCGTATCTATCGGTCAGCTGAATGGAATCTACGAAGCATCATGATGTTTTAAAATAGGACGCCGAACCGAAAGAAACCGTGGAAGAATGAAGCGAAAGGACAGACGTTCAGTTACCGTTATACTTTACCAGCAAAGCTTTCTACTGTGAGGAGTGGAGGGGGAAGGCGTCGGCAGTCGACCTTTGAAACACATAGCACTAAATTTGCTATTCGACGCAGTCAATTAACAAGGAACCAAGGGAAAGTAGGGGAAGCAAATGTAGTCAATGCGCCGTCAATCGCCTACGGGGGTCGGCTGCAGCCAGTCGGGCTCTTGGCGGCCTCGGTGTTGGTGTCGGCAACAGACGGCGAGGGCGACGGAAAAAGATTTGACTTTTTGATTGGGTCTTCTTGCTTGCTTGTTTGCCAACAAATTCAGATATCAACGATGACATCTCATTTCTGCCTGCCTCTTGCCCAGGAGAAAAAGTAACGGTGTCGACGACAGGACAAAGAACTTTTCAAGTTCGTTGTATTGAAGTACCCACCACAAAGGCTCGACATGGATAATTCCTTATAGACCTATCGAGCGGACCAAATCATGTTACTACCTGGGCCGAGTAACTTGAACAGTGCATTGATTAGTGATAACATGTTCTAGAGTCGGTCTGCCTAGCAAGACTCTCGGACAAGCCGAGCCAATCTAGCACCCCAGTCAAGTGTTTCAATGAGCATTTCTACCATTGAACGAAACGAACTGCGTGGTCGGAGATTTGACACGAACGGCTCTAAGTGAAAGAGTTGAAGCGACGGATATGCTTACGAAATTGAGACCCATGAATTTTGTGGCCCTAATCCTGCATATTACGATCCACGCAGAGTTGGCTCAAGGGCGAACCATCTCCACGAAGTGACGGAGAAACCAACACATTGTAACCAGAGCTTGTTTGAATCGATCTCTGATAATTATGTGCTGGTGCAATTTTGTGCTAGACCACCGCACTGGCGTGACTTGCGCACCCATGATAGAGGTGCGGAGCTACGAGGCGCGAATCGCGCGGACGAACTTCAAGCATAACCTCGGAAAATCTCGTGACGTGTAGCACATCGGTCCGCGTGTCTGAAGTAAAACTCAATGAGCGTGTCGGTATAATAATCAGTGAAAGGAGGGGCCATTGGAAAAGAAACCATATTTCAAGACGCAGTCCCCACGGAATTTGGACATGCGCCACGTGCATGTGTGAGGCGGGGGAGTACCGGCGATGCGATATCACCCGCTGTTGAGTCAAAAAGTAAAACGGCGCTTTGTTATGATGGACGTCATCTGTACAGTTCTGATCCGGCCAAGCGACGTTGGGCACGGAAACAAAAATGGATGTACTGGCCGGACTTTCTAGGCGGAGTCGGTCTCCCGCTTTTCGGCGGTTCACAGGCCGTGCAATGGGTGGAGGGCTCTCGCGGACGAGAAGAAGAGTCCCCTGCTTTTGTTTTTGTCTGTCAGTTCTCCCCTGACGAGAATGAGTGCCAAACAAAACACCTATAGCAGATCCGAAGGCAGCTCTATGCTATTCTTAGTACTATTATACGTCCATATACATCCATATACATCGAGATCCGAATCATTGCGACTACCGGGCCTTGCCGTTCTGGACATTTAGAAGCGCTTATTAGGATATTCTGTCGATTGGTGACTAATTCGAATGATAACACAACATGCTGCATGAACAAAGGTGGAAACTTGCAACTTGGCGAGGCTTTTATGCGTTCGACGGAAAATCTAGAAGGTACAAACAGAAGAAAGACGAGCGCCAAATTGGTGCGACTAGCGGATGGTCCAATCGCTCGAGCGGTAAATGCATCACGATGTCGAATAAACGAGTGAAAGTTCTCGTGTCGAGTCACCTATGAAGAGGCTGGACAGCAGCTAGTCGACGAAACAGCACAAATGTCCGCGGGGCCGCGGGATTGAGAGCGGCAGTCGGTCTCGGGGCTCAGGAAGCACCGTGCATTTCGGGTCGGATGAATGGACAGGTGGAGTGGCTACAACCAGCCTTCATAAACTTTGGGACAACGGATCCTGATAGCTTCACAGGGCTGGAAAGTCGGCTATCTAGCCCGCAGTTTGTAGGTTGGGACAATCGACGACCTTTTCTGCTGATTGACGACTAGTAGTTTTGTTCTGTCTCGCAATCTAACACGAGCACCTAACCAGTCACCTACTGGTTAAACCCCAAAAACCATGCCCTAACCAGGGATCACCATCCTTTAACCACTGACCCCAGAGTGATGTAGTTTTACCAATTGTGTAAAATAGATATTGTGGTTAAACTTTCGGCGCATGTCCGTAGTGTGTCTGAAATTGCTTCTACTCCGCCTTTCTAGTGGTCAATCAGCTAAAAGACATCGATGGTCAATTCTCCTAGCCCTTGACGATTCTTAGCTCTGGCACTATGATACCGGTGCTGTGGCACACCCATGTATCTATCATACTGCTCGACGATAAGCACTGCATATGCCGTGGCGCTGATTGCGTAGCGTTGCATTGACTAACCTATCATAGATTGAAGCAGACTGTTACAGTGCAGGGGCACATCGACTGCATTTCTGAACGGGGCACAATATCCCCAAGTCTGGCAGGCGGCTGGAGCAGAAGCTATGACTTGAATAGCAGCAACTGTCAAGATGAGTGAGGTGAGGTTTCGAGGTCTAACTACGTAGGTGGGTTTACAGTTCATTCTTCGTGGATCCCGGAGAGACTAGCCGAGATTGCAGTGTAAAGATACGTCAGGCTCGGTCATGCATGCGGAATATGTCAATACTGGAGAGGGTCATAAAATATCATTTCGCGTGTGTGTGCGTGTGGCTTTGGAATCAGGCAGACTATTGCTTGAAAGCATCCACTGTTTACAAATGTAGTAGTACTAGTGTAAGTTGAAGACATGCCCGATGAATCATCTTCTTCCGCCCGCCGCATACAGTAATGGCCCACCTAGTGGGCAGAACTAGAAGGACAGTAGAACTTTGTTGACTCGTTCGGTCCATGACGTGAAGTAGGAGGAAGGAGGAGAGCAAAGGGTATTTGTACATAAGAGAAACTAGGGCCACACAGAGCTGAAAGTTAGCTGGCGCCAACATTGTTGGCTCAGAGCATGACGCCTCAACACTGCGCGGGGGTTCTGCGAGGCCAAAATGGGGTTTGCTGTATTACGAGCACGAATGCCACGTATATAGCCCCTTGAACCTTCGAGGATTTTTTTTTTCTAAAAAAAAAAAAAAACAAGATCAGGAAAGAATTATCTTGCCCGAAGGTGACTCGAGTACTAACGCCCTGCGAACAAAAGGCAATCTTATCATGACTTTACGTTCGAGGTACGCGCGGAGCGATCCAAGATGACGAAACGACGAGTTGATAGTGTGAAATAGACGTTGTAATTGATCGGGTAGGACGCTGGCTAACGATGATCTCGTCTCGCGTGAACGCGGCGGTTATAACCCTGAATCGGATGGATACGTGGCACGATCATAAGAAAACCCCGAAAACACCTTGAACAGAAGCGGCATATCGCACAGCTCAGTCATTATCAGTCGACTTGGAAAAGGCCTAAAGTCCGCGCAGACTGCCGTGCGGACTTTTCTTAACAGCGATGAATAAGGCTAACACGCAGTTACCATCACGCGACTCCCGACAAAACATGGCTGGTGCATTACAGGGCCAGTTGCCGCAGGGGATTTCTCCAGAGGGCCCCCACAGGCGCCTTTCCAGAATCCCACCATCCACTGTTCAGTTACGGTGAAGGACAAAAGCTGGCTGGCGCCGAGTGTGCTCTGAACGGTGCCACTGTGCACTGTAGATTCCTAGGTACCTAGGCACTGTGCCAACCTGTCGCCATAGGGGTGTTATGTGGCAGACCATTTCCATATGTTGTCAGCCCTCTCCTATTGCAAAGTTCGCCTCCTACATATGTTACGGGGTCCTAGCATATCTCACTCAGGTGAGTACACAGGTGAGGACAGAACCAGAAGATGACCTATACACGTGTTGGCCGGAAAATCATCTCCGACACCTCCCGCGTAGATGCGTCTGTACCAGTAGGCTACATACAGCCTTGCTGCCACAACTATCCAGGTGCCTCTGGGTAGAAAAGAGGGAAAAAGAATGAGGGCTGAAATCTTGTTTGGTACTGGAACCTATCCTATTCGTTACTAGTAATAACTAGCATACTGGCAACTGGTAACTGCTGGGCGCTACTGGTAACCCGTGGACGAAGCCCCCGGTCCCCCGGTCTGGCTGGTCGCACTCTCGGACATAGGTGCTGGCCGACGCGGCTAACGCCACCCCCCTGCCGTCACTGACAGGTCCACCCGTCCTCAACGGAGACTCTGTCCCCCCCCGAACAGGCGGGTGCGTCTCAATGGGCCGCTTCAGTCCATGACAATGTTCGGCTCCCTGTGCGTACGTGGGAAAAATTCAATTATAAAGCACCCCAATCTGATCAACCGATCGCGCCTTGCACCCCCCCGTGGTGAAGTCATTGAACTTTCAGTTGCCATTTTACCTTCCTCGTCCATCCGCCTCTATTATTAAGCGGACATCCATACACCAATCCCATCCTCCTTAAACCCAGCGCTTCCCTCCACCGTCTCGGACTTACACATAATACCTCCTGTATACTTTGTTTTATTCCCTCCCCCCTCCAATTGTTGGCAGTCAACACTCACTCCTACCGGCGACATTTATGCATGCTGGATCTTCTATCGCACAACCCCAATTCGAACCTGTAACAGTTACCTACATATCAACGCACAGTGCACTCCTACAATGGGCTCCCCTAACCTCCCTTCCCCCCCAGCGGAAGACAGCAAAGTGAAAAAAATCACTGCAAAAGCCACAAAGCCAGCCCATCGCGCTTCTAAGCGTGCCAACACCGCCTCTGCCGCTCATCACCATGAAATTATCGCTGGCGCCGCTGGCATGGACGGCCGCCACAAGAGAGTGTGGAAGGCCTGTGAGCGCTGTCGGATGAAGAAGACCAAGGTACATTTCCCTTGTGTAGCTGTACATTAACGATAATTGTGCCGGCACTGACTCAATTCAATAAAGTGCGACGGCGAGTTTCCTTGCAAACGTTGCAAGGACGATGGACTCGTCTGCACTGCTGGCATTCGAAAGAAGATGGAGTACAAGCAGTTGCCGAGAGGGTACGTCAACTCACGCCTCGCTCAACCTCAGCAATCACCATCCTAACGCCATCTAGCTACGCCGAAGTTCTCGAGAGCACGCAGCTCACTCTGATCGCCACCATCCACAAGCTGTACTCCATGGTCCGCACCTCCCAACCCTGGGATCTCGGCGAGCCAGACGTCAACGAACGTGGCCAGCCAGTCGTACACAACATTGCCCAGAAGCTTGGATGCATCCGTCCCAATTGCGACATCGATCTTCCCGCTCACTCAGTATTTCCCGAGGATGAGACCAGCATGGCTGAACTCGCCCGTCAGCTCGAAGAGCAACAGCCTCACGAACACGATGCACCCAGCTCCCACTCTGCCACTACCACTACAAGGGAAGGCGAATCATCGACCTACACGCGTACCGACCGAGCATCTTCTTCCGAACTTGACCATTCCGATGTGGAACAAGATTACCGCAAGATGGCCTTTGGAAGCCACAATGCCCTGTCCCTGTCTCCACAGAGCTTTGCCAGTGGCAGCGACTTCGAGTTCAGTACGACACCAATAGATCTTGACGCCGGCGCGATGTTTTCAACACAATCATCATCATCAATGCCAGACTTTTCTTCTTCGTGGGTCGCGGTTCCCAAAGCTCGACAGCTGCAGCAGCAGCAGCAACAACAACAACAACAACAACAACAACAACAACAACAACAACAACAACAACAACAACAACAACAGCAGCAGCAGCAGCAGCAAGAGCCGTCAAATACGATATCGATGCCATTCATGCAGCAGCCGAGCTCTTTGCAGAACCTCGTGATGATGAATCAGGACGCCCTTGATGCGGACTTTGGCACAATCAAGCCCGATATCTTATCCTACGTCAACCCGGATGTCATGATGGGCATGTCGGATCCGATGATTTATGCTGGCTTTGATAACGACAACATGAGACTATAGATTGGAGTCGGGAAAGGTCACTTGAAATCTTGGCAAATGCAATTTTGCTGCCAGGGCTAGGGTGTGCTTGAAGAAGCAGCTGTGCATGGCTAGTTATTTCGCATAATGAGATATGGAGTTTTGATGCATTACTGTAGGAAAATGGCGTCGAGGTAGGGTATCTGATTTTACTGAATGGAACCCGGGGTTTGGAGGCATGGCAATGGTTTTCGTTCCTGGGTTATGTATATGTCGGGCCTTTTTTACTCTTGTTGACATCGCGATTAGAATTCAACCAATTACACCGACTCTCCAAAGTACCCGAGCTGTAACTCGCCTGGGCCATAGACTGAACGACTTGGCCAAGCAAAGCCGGGTGCGCACGTAGCAATGGCATTCACGTTTAATGTAGAGCTCTGACAATTGCAATACAAAAATGAATCGTTGCAGCCACTGAAATGATGAACAGTGGTGTGTATGGATAGATAGGGTCGCTGGCGGTGGAAGATCCACTGCTGCAAATGAGCCTTTCTGGCAAAAATTTGCCGAGCTGAGGAGCCTGCGAGCCTACCTCTGTAATTAAAGACTTATTAGAAAGCATTTGCAATCAGTCCGGCGAACAGTAAACCCACAAGGCCAAGATGAAACTTTAGTGCCCCGGAAAAAATGCTAAGATGAACCCAACAGTTAAGAAGAGGGGGCGCTGCCTGCGCAGACTTGACGGGCTAAACCACACAGGGACAGAATGAGACATGGGAAAACAAGAACTAACCAGGTTGCCTGATTTGGTTGGCGGTTGATCAGGCTAAATAAGATTTTTGTCAGCCTCGTTCGCGCGTCTGGCATTAGAACTACCGAGATTACAAAGCGCGCTAAAAGGCTTCAACGGAACAATCGCCGCAGGTATCTAGGACAAGAAGGCAGAAAGAATCAAACGCTTGAACTCGTATCTAGTTAGTGGTTACGGCTCCCGAGAACCAAGGGCCGAACCGGGACTGAAAAACATGTAATCAGAAGTTTTCGTGCCCTGGCCAGGAATCAGTTGGCAAGTCCGCAGTTTACTGGTAATATCTGGTCCGTACTGTTGCCAAAAACGGGTCACCCCTCTTTCTTTGTTACCGGTACTAGTTAGAATGACATGTTGCCACAACTCTGTTTGCTTGAAGTTGATGGTGGAGTGAGACAGTCCTTCGAACGAACGACCTCAGCCATCTGCAATATAGGCTATGAACAATGATGGGGATGACATGGCTGCCAATTCGGCCATATGCAGGAGCGCGAGAGTCACCCGCCACAGCATGACACCATTCTATGCAAGGCTGGCCCTCTCAACCTCACAAGCCAACGATTTGCATGCGCGCCCCAGCTTATTACATCTGACTACATAAAACAAGCATCAGCCTTGTAAAATTTTTCTTGGCCCAGTGGCTGCGATCTTTGCCCACTCGCTCGTGTAAACGAGCAGCCATGCATCTCGCCCGGTTTCTAGATTTTCCGCTTCACAACGTTTGTAGAGACGAACATATCATCAGATGTCTATCCCAACGAGCTTGACGAGGTCAGCTCGCATCGGCGGCGCCACCATCATTCACCAACTTGACGACGTCCGGGAAACACCCGAGGCCATAAATTACTACCACTGTGCCTACGTGGGAGGGTCACTTCTTCGAGGTAAAACCAGTAAGCCCTGTCTATAACTACCTTGCAGTATTTCGCGACACCTTGCTTGGCTTCTGCCGAGCTAATGTGCAAGTTCTGCTTAATGAGCGGTATATATGTGGGTTGGGCCAAGGATTGCTGTAACTTACAAAGATGTAGGGATCCTACACATGTCAATCAAAATTGACTACTGTAGTTAATGATGGAGGATCAAGGGCGTACGAGTGGGCGACCGAGTTCCGCTGTGGTATTCTTTGTCATCTTTTCTGGCGACCTCTCGAATGCTTACCAGACCAATGCAGATACAAGCAAATTTCAGGCTACCCTCTCTTTCACTTCCTTTCATTAGGGCGATCATGATCCTAACTAGGCCTGATTTTGCCACATGGGCGTAGCACAATTGCCACTACTTTACCCACTCAATGCCTATCGTGTGGTCTTGCACACCTTCTCATTCCAAACTCTAAATAAAACGAGACTACGAGGGAGTTGTTTCCGTGCGTCGATTCCGATGGCCGACAGCGATGAAATACTCGTCTGGAATTTGTGCCTGTGGTGTAAGCAAAGCTTATTGCCTCTGGTATGGTTCGGACTTTCGGGCTGTACTCTAATTCACCGCTGTCTCAATAATTATACACCATTTGCACTTTCTGGCGTGGTCCTCATGGAGAATTTGAAGGTTTCTGGGAAGAAAAAGCATAGTGCTTGCTATGGGGCTGATTTGTGCTGGTTGGTAAGGAGCTAGGAGCGCAGGTCTTCAGCGCAGGCTGTGATAATAATGCGTTGTGGGTAGAGCAACTCTCGGGGACACATAGCTTTCTTAGTGCACTCAGCACTCATCAGTGCGATGGACAGCTAGTGTCATATAATTGGCTGATTTTGTATTTTCCTGGTGCAGTGTACCAACTACATCTATCAATTCCTGAATGCCAACATCCTTCAGGAATCTCTTCCTGAACCTTTTCACACATGCCCGCACATAGCCATGGTAGAGAGTCGTCTCTTTCAGTCTCTTGAAAACCTTCACTGGATACACGGGTGCTCCGTAGCTGCATCTCCGCGGCCACGGATAAGCCAAAATAAAAGCTCTGCAGTTCTCAGTTTCGGTGGCGGCCCCTCCCCAACATTGCTTCAACGGTCGGCCTTCGGGCGCCGTCTTGGCAGCGTACCCTTTGAGAATCGGACTAAAGTCTAATGTCCCGTCCACCAAAGGGTGCCTTTCGTTGGGACTTCGGGACTGTCCATCTCATCTCAAGCAGCTTCCAGAATGCTGCAGACAAATTTGCTGTCCAGCCATGATACTGGGCATGGCGGGCGGGCGTCGTCGTTCATTTCTCTGCTTTGTCTCCTCGGGACCGACATGGCTGTGGAGTTTCCGAGCGGAAGACAAATTCGCCATCTGGTTTGTAGTGTACGGGAAAATGCCGTCTTAAATCCACCCCCCCCTCCACCTTTTTTTCCGCAAGTCCACCTGCGAGATACCAAAGCTCCCAGTATTTACAAGTCCAACGGTGCGCGTACGGCGCATTACGCGTAATTATTCAGCCAAGACCCCGATGCTCAGCTCACAAGACATTTCTCTATTTAGTGCAGCATCATCTACCATTAATTGCTTTCCCCCCACTGGGCAGTGTAAACTGGGAAGCGTCTTGGGCTCATCCTGCGACATCAATGTCTGAAATTATGTTGTCAGGACAAGCCTTGGCATGCTTAACATGCATATTAAAGACTGGCTGAATATAAATATAGCCCACTACTCGGCCAAGATTCTCCAAAGAACAACCATTCCGCGAGTTGCTCCCGTATCCCGCGCGCACGTTTTTTTCGCAAACTCGGATTCGGACTATTGCCTCGCACGCATCTTTTACGACGAGCTGACCCGTTTCGGCACTTTGAGGCGCCAGCTCAGGCGTACGCCCCGCAAACGCTTGTGACAGGGTTTTGTTCGGAGGTGTTGATGACCCTCCTACTCTGTTACAAGCGCAGCCACAATTGTCCATAGTATTTGTTGGCAACAAAAAGATCGTCGGGCCAGGTCTGTATTTATTTATGGACGCAGATATCAAAACACAAGGCACAATTACAGAAAAGAGTGGGGCCAGGTTTTGATTTCGCCGCACATTCTCAATTCAAAGACGAAAACACGGATTCAATATACATCTTAACAATCTCAAGTACCAAAACTCCCACTTAAAGCCGATTCGTGGGGTTGAAACATCATTCAATTGCAAGCACACGGGCCCCCAAACCGTCCTAAGCACGCTGCTGGACAATGTCGAGATGAACAGATGTTTGCACCAAAAGCCACATGTATTTCATTAGCTCTTGGTGTCCAGGAGCTGCCTCAGTATGCTTTCACCGGCGCGCCACCATCGTGCTCGTTGCTCGAGATCGTCGCCAACGCCCCCCAGTGTAGCTTCTTTCCTTCGCTGTGCCTCGCGCGCCGCTGCCTTGCTGTTCTGCCGCTTCGCCTCCAGCGGACCCAGCTCGGCCTCGAGTCGCTCAGCCTCCTTTCTCTTACGAGGGAGTTTCGACTGAAGAGCTTCCAGCTCACGCGTGACTTCTTGCTGCTCTGCTTGCCGACGCGACACGAGCTGTCTCGTCTTGGTGAGTGGCAGATTCATATCTGGATTCGAGTCTGCTGTGGCCCTGGATGACTTTAATTCCGCGACTTGCGCGCGAAGATCATGTAGCTTCATGGGAATTTCCCCCAATTTAGCTGTTTCTAGCTGGATGCTTTCGTATTTCTGGCTCAATTCGCGGGCTCTGCGTTCCAAATCCTCTATCATGCTCGCAACGTCCAACTTGAGATTCTTCAGCTCAGCCTTTGCCTCCATGTTATGCTTTTCCAACTCGATATTCTCCCGCATACTGACGATAAGTGGCGGGTCTCCCACGATGGCGCGTATGAATTTCTCCTTAGTGACTTGTTCGACGTAAGAGAATCGCAATTTGGAGAAGAGCTCGCTGTAATGCGCCAGGTCGGTTTCAAGGCTTGCCGGGGTCGGCCCTTCCAAACATGAGTTCGATACATCTGAGGATCTCTGTCTCGGCTCATGCGCTGCATAGTTTGTAATAGGCTGGATCAACTTGATGATAGAAATTTCCTGCTGCGCTCGATGTCGCGTCAGTGCCATGAGCACATCCTGTGCTTTGCCTGCCGTTTTGCGTGGTGAGGTCGTCATGGCTTCGGGCTGTGGGACTGAAGCTCCAGCGTACGTAGTGTCGTGGGATTTCACAAACAGGCGACCGGGCAATTTGGTGACGAAGACATGTTGAAGCCAAGGGTCGCGATGACCGGAGCTGTTTACTTGAAATCTGATTGGGTTAGTGCGTTACCCCACCTCGAATGACCAACATCAAGTGCGCCACTCGCTCTTGAAGACTCGTTCACGTACTTTTCTCCAATGATTATTTTTTCGGCCATTGCACCCGCTGCAAGGTGGACCAGTGCCTTCTGGGCTGCTTTCGAATCATGTCAACCGATGAATTTCTTACGGACGACTACGTCGCTGGCCTACTAAGCCAGGAAGCTTCCGACTGTTCGATTAAATACTCTGCCATGGGTGTCGACGCTTTCCTAGTCAAGGACTCTAAGTCCAAGAAGTAACACACCAAATGGCGAGTCCACGTCAGAATGTATTTTCTAACAGATAACAGATCTACAAATATGCCAAAGCCAAATACGAGATTTCTGCGCAACATCATTAGAGGTACCGACACCCACAACAAAGCACTTCTAGCCAAGGAGGCCGCGGAGTCGAAGGCTCGCTTAAAGAGATTGGAGCGTGCCGAGGAGACCAAGCGAAAGAAGTTGAATCCTACGACAAAGGACTTACGCGAGCGACATATGGGAGACATCCAAGCGATCTTGGGCGGCGGGAAGCGAAGGGGGCGAGATGGCGGTGCCGACACGGACAACAACAAGAAAGAGACTGACCGCCGCGATCGAGCCAAGGCAAAGCGTGGGGCGAGACCACACAAGAACGAAGATAACTATAGAGATGGTGATCAACGAGGGCCACATGAGGGTCGCGCCTCTTCGAATTATGGAAACGAGAGCTCCGAGCACTATGGCAGCCGACAACACGGCAGGCGGCGTTCGCAACACAAGGACCGTTCGGCCGATGATGAACCTCAACCTCGCCTCCACAAGAGCTCAAGAGATGGTAGATCTAGGTCTCCTGGAGGTTACTGTCTATTCAAAAGAACAAGAAGCCGAGATGCAGAACGCCGACGCCACCGGCATCGCTCGTTACCCAGGGATAGATCGTCCGTGTCCGCTGAAAATCAGTCTGCGTTACGAGATTCAGAAAATGAGGAGATTGGACCGGTCCTGCCACCCAAAATCCGTGGGCGCGGTGCTGTTGGCGTATCGTCAGGAATAGACAGACGCTTCTCAGCGTCGTATGATCCAAAGACGGATATAGAAGGCTTTGACGATGCCAATATATAGACTTGATGGACAACGCACGATCAAATGAAGATGTTCGTGCCGAGGTTCGCATCATATCAATAACAAGTTGCAGTCGTGTGGTTCAGGGGAGGGACATATTGAGTATCACGAGAAGATGAAATGGGCGATAGCTATTTATGATATGGTGTGGGCTTCGTTGGAATACGGCATAGCGAGACTTATCGAGGATGCTCTTGGGCATTCAATTTTTGGATCAAGTCTCTTTCTCCGATCGCATGGCAGTGCTGAGAATGTCTTTCATCTCAATGCCTATTTCTGATTAGCTGGTACGGGGTCATGGACATTCTTTCCTTCTAAACACCATATAACTTATCTATGATTGATCCAGGCTCCCCTGTATCAGCGGTAAGCTGAAGTTGGGATCGCGTCAAGATGAGGTAACAATTTGGCACAGGCGGCACATGACGAGGTTGAGTGTTGGTATTTTCAAGTGAGCGCTATAACGCCCCTATAGATCACAAAATCGAGGGCTGTGGCATGATTTCAGAGTGCATGTCATGTACATCTGTAACATGACCAAACCACTACGTCAAATGAGGGGGTGTCTATACGGCATATCTTCAAACGCGGGGTATCGTGAGTGTGACGTGCGCGATATATGTCCTCCGTGGTTTGCGAAACTGTTTTTGCAGCTTCTTGTTCTCTGCAGCGTGCGAGAACTGGCTTGGTATATTCGGAAAAAAGCCTTGCACGGTACAAATCAACTCTCAGAGATTGCTCAACAACCACTAATTTACTTACAACCTACAGTAGCAAGTATTTAGGTACCCGACGTCATGCAGTCCCACTACCTACCTAGGTACCTACGCGCGCGAGGGGTGTTTTTTGATATAGCAATAATACGCTGTCACGTACAAAATGTCTTCTTACTGTCTGGTGAGACTGTCAGAGCATCTAGTACGTGTAGGAGTTAATATAGATTTATTCTGACATATCTGAGCGACTTGACAGTGTTCCTAGACAGCAAAGAGACATTGCAAACTGGAGACGCTGTACCTTAGGGGCTAGGTCAGAAAATACCCCCCTCCCGCGTAGGTACCTATTTATCTGTCAAGTCTCATCCAGGGTCCTCTCAGTCCAAGCAAAGGCAAAGGGTGGCGGCGGCGCTGGATTGCCATGCTTTAGTGGGCCACGATGGCCTGTCTTTCTGTGGGCTCCAGCGCATTTTGTGACAATCTTCAGGCGCGGATACTCGGGCCTGACCTCCTGAGAGGTGCCATGGAAGGCTCAAGACACCCCCATTTACAGGCTCTCCCGCCGCTGACTGGCCAGCCTGCAACTGCAACTGCAATGATTGTCCCATGTTATCTTGAGTGTGCCCTTCTCCGCCATTGCGTACTTCATCACTCCCTAACAATCATTTGTTGCCTTTCCCCTCTCGTCTCATTCTCGCTCCCGTTTGTCGATTTCCAGCCTCTCTGCATCATTCTGTGTGCTGAACGAACGCGCATTTGAGCTGTGGCAGAGTTTTAGGCCCGGCTTCTTCCCCTTGACTATTGGCTGCCTCCCCACGCGCCGCTCTCGTCAGTATCCTCAACGTCGATCGGCATATGCCGATGTGAAAGAGCCACACGGCTGCCTTTGCTGGCTGTGAGAGGTGACTCAAGTATCACCTCTTCAGCTTGCCATATTTTTTCTATTCAAATTCGCCGATATACTCGTCAAAAGTGCAAGCGACAGGATGCGAACCACACGAATCGTTATCCTCCTCATCTTCTTTACCGCCACCCTCTTTGTCTTCTTTCGAGCCGTTCTGTCCGCGACACGATCGTCACCCATCGCTCATCCGAAGCCATCAACCGCTAGAAAGTCCATTCTAGGACTTGTTTACTACAACCCGCCATTTTCCCTCTTCCAGCCCAATGCCGCCATCAGCTTGACGGATGACAACAGCACATCATTTGCAGCGAGACCTGCCGCCTTTGGTCCTCAGCTGGTGCCCCGTGGCTTGAGCGGACAGCTTTGGGTCGGCAGTGGATTTGCTGAGGATAGCCTGGAATCGCCTGGAGAACTTGGCTGCAGCGATATCCCCGGCTGGGAAGGCGGCGCCAGTCCCCAAGCGATACTCAAGTCGTCAATCAAATCAGTGGTAGCTCATCACTCGCCAGCCGAAAGCAAACCCGTTCGAAGCAACAAGAGCGCAAAAAAATCACGACAAGAAATCGGATCGGACGACGAGACACCCAAAACCCCGCGTTCTATTGATGACGGCACCGACAACTACCTGCATGAAGCCCTTCGCAATTCTCTCGCGCGGCGAGATCCTTCGGCATCATCGCATGCTGATATACAGTCGATGCAAGAATCTGCAGAAATCGAGGGCAAGGTAGTGCTGCTAATGCGCGGAGGCTGCGGATTCTTGGAAAAGGTCATGTGGGCACAGCGCAGGGGCGCCATTGCCGTCATTGTTGGCGATAATCAGCGCGGAGGCCCACTAGTCAATATGTTTGCGAGAGGTGAAGATGCGGAAAATGTCACCATCCCGTCTGTATTCACCGCGCGAACCACTGCCCAACTTCTGTCGTCCCTCACACAGCCAGGAAGCTTCATTGAGGATAGTATCGATGAGGGTGGAAATCCAGTGTTGAAGGTGCAGAAGGGCGTAAAATCATCCCCGAAGAAGTTCGAAGAGAAGACGAAATCGGCTGTTCAAGGTAAGGCCAACCCGACAGCAACGGCAAGCAAACCCTTTCGTCGCGCTGCCAAGGAACTCACCTCAGTGAACAAAGGTGACCGCAGCTGGCTTTCCCGTACGCTTGGTTTTGGAACAAGCTCAAGCCGCGCAAATTCTGAGTCCCCGTCCGCTCATGGGAAACTGGAGTGGGTAATGGTCGATGAATGGGACAACGAAATCGACAAGAAGATCTCCGATAGGATGAAGGGTACCAAAAGGCAGTCACAGAAGCCAGCCAAGGTGGTGGAAGACGAGTTTCGTATTGGTGTGCAGGACTGGCGCGACCCAAAATTTGTCGATAAGTCGCATTCGAGTGACAAGGCCAATACCGTCAGCTCAGTCTCCCGCAAGACAGAAAGTAAGCCCGCGAGCAGGCTTTCAGGGAAAGACGCAGCATCTAACGCCAATACCAACTCCCCGTCGAAGTTTGGCCACAGCCGTGGTCTCTTCAGAACAGTATTTGGAGATGAAGATCCAGCTGAGGATAGCGAGCCCCCAGATGCATTAGATGATGATGACAAGACGGACCCCCCTAAGCACAATGAGCCAACCCCCGGACCTCATCATGGCCTCTGGGTCACCATCACACCCAACAGCGGCACTAGTCCCTTCTTTGACACTCTGCTTGTTCTTGTTGTCAGTCCTCTCGTGACTCTCAGCGTCGTCTATGCCTTATTGATCCTGCGAGCACGTATTCGTCGTCGACGCTGGCGAGCTCCAAAATCTGTTGTGGAGCGCTTACCAGTTCGTACTTATCACACTGTGGCAACAACTCCTAGCATCTCGCCACAGGCTTCTTCTCCTTCCGCTTCGTCGCCGACTACCCCTCTGCTTCAGCATAGCCCGTCGCGGCCAAGACCTCGCTCCCGTACGACCACTGGTGTCCCCGAGAGCGCTAATCTCCCTGTTCCGAGCCCGCCCATTCCCACTGCCTCGAGCGGATCCCGACACCGAGCTGGAAATGAGCATGAAAAGGGATCGAGTGGCTTCTCTGCTGAATGGCGGAAGTACATGGGACGGCAAGTTGAGTGTGTTGTATGCTTGGAAGAGTACGTTGACGGCGTTAGCCGTGTAATGAGCCTTCCCTGCGGTCACGAATTCCACGCCGAGTGCATGTAAGCATTTGTCTGGTAACTTCTATTCCAAACTTCTCACTGACATGACATGACAGTACTCCTTGGCTAACAACTCGGCGCCGGACTTGCCCTATCTGCAAGGGTGATGTTGTCCGCTCTCTTGCACATTCATCTCGATCCATGCCTCGGTATGAGCCCTACCGTGAGGACAGCGATGACGATGCGATGGCTTCTTCGAGCCTGGCATCCGATGTTGAGCAGGGCATTAGCCAATCAGATGCACAAAATGGTCAAAGCTCTTCCCGTGGAGATGGCCGGCTTGGGGTCGTCTCGCACAGCCCTGGTAATGGCGCGCAACACGTGCCATCAAGATCGCCGTCACCCGCGCAGCGTCGGCCCAATCCGAACTCCTAGCTCGACGTGCATTCCACCTTAGTATATATTCTATCTTTGACTAAACGGAAACTTAGCTTATCTGCGCCCATTCTCTCTGCTTTATTGTTGTTCTGCGATGGAGCTTGGCGTACTATAGCATTGTGATACTTGTGGCGTTCTTTGTTGTTATATAGTTCTATATTGCTAAGCTGCTCAGAGTGATAGTCACCTAGGTATGTGCCACCCAGATGCCTTGAGAGCGGCTCTTCTCCAATTCACTCCCTCGTATTTCGAGGCTCATTATCCACGCAGCAGCGACGAACCGGTTCGTTTGCGGATCAAGATGGAGGGTTCATAGGCCGGAATGATTAATGTCTGGCTTTTTGTCCAAAATGTGCGCGATGTTAAACCTGCTGAAGCATCCTTTGTAACCTGGACGAACAATATCTACAGTGCAGAGGTTGCCACATCTTTGAATGTCGTGTGGCTGATTTAGGATTGAAGAATAGCCAGTTTCCGAGCAGCTTCCTGAAGAGTATGATAGTTTTTTTTGGCATCTCGAAGCATCTCCCTCATCTCACAATTAATTTCCAAGATGCAGCTTGCCCAGAATCAGGAAAACTCATCTTCAAAACACACGGTGTATCAGGACGCTGACTTAAATTATCGGCCCGACAACTCCTTACCCCGCGGCGTGGTGAAACGTCATTACAGCTTTTTTGGTAAGTCATTCAACTGATCCTTGTTTACCAGTTCATTTAAGCTGCAGCAATCTCGTTTGATATCTAAATACTCATGGACCGTACCCTTGGCGGCCTGCGACTGCTCATAGTGCAAGACCTGCTGTAAAGCCTCGGCTAGTTATGAACGAATACTGGCGATATAAGCTATCTGAAGAATTCTATTATGGTAAGTGCTGCTGAATCGGGCCTGGAATCGTGAGACTGGCCGACTCGTCTTGTTCTCACAGACGGCTGAGGTGAAGCTGTCAAGAAGCTGTGCAAAGACAGCATTACCCTGGGAAGCTTGTGGTTGCAGCGACCGATAAGATCCGTATATTCATGGGCAGGGGGCCCAAGCTTATTTCTGACTGCGATGGAGGCCCTTGCACGAGAATGGAAGCCTCAAGTAGTGCTAAAGAAGGACTTCTCAGTGAGCGTAAAGGTCTTGAAGCCTGAACGGACGGACCTAATGTTTAAGTCTTTTGGCTCAATATACAGCGGAAAAACTCACTTGGATATCTTTAGGAGCTAAAAGAATCTTTGGTATGCTCTAGTCCTTGAATGTATGACTACAGTCGGGCCCGAATAACTCGCACGCAAAGCAACGGGCTGATGGTAATAACACGCGGAAGTAGGACGACCGTCCGGCCCGCTATGCTCTAGTCGGCTGCATGTGATCAACAGAATTCCAAAAGAAATTTGGTCGATTTGAACAGCGGTGCATTTTAACTACGACGTAAGGCGGAGACTGTCCCAACTTGTATGGCCACCGAAGAGTGGCATTGAATAATAATGGGACCTGTAATTGTGTTGCATTATTAATCTTACAAAGTGGTCATCCGAGAATTAAGAAGCCGATCCGCAGGAGCGGGGTCGTTGAATGACAATCAGTGAGCTCGTCAGAAAAGATGTAATAGAACTACATGAAGCAAGGCATAGGAATTCACTGAAAGAACGCAAGGCCAAAAGACGATTCTGACCTTGTTAGAATAGATTTACAAGAGTCATCGTCCGAGCTTGAAGTGGCATATTGCTATGATATATTGTCATCTATGTATCTGCCAGCAAGTGATAGCCTTCTTCAACACTGGTTCAGCTGAAGCGTCTACTTGTCCAACATTTGGAGCAATAACACTCATGAATCAAAGATTTCGCCAGTTAAGAACAAGCTTTCTGGCATTGAATACCTGCGCCCATGATGCACCTCTGCGTACAAGGGTGTCGACGTCTAGGCAGACCAGTGCATCGCATAGGACACTGCCTCAGAGTCCAGTCGTGGCATGCTTTCCATGTGCCGCCCATGCAGCCCGGTTTGGCTCGAGCAGCTAGCTCTGGGAACAACTCTGGCAGAAGTTTGGAGAGATCAAAGGGTTCTTCTTCGTCAAATGACTCTTCAATAGAAGCGAAATCAGATGGTGAGTCTGTAGCTGTCTCAACCACTGGACTAACACCCTCCTCGTTGACAGCTGGTGCCGCAACGGCTCCGGTAGCTGTAGATGCGAGCAGGGTCTGTATTCAAGCACAAATTAGCAAAATAATAGCTTGATGGGCTTACAAGAACGCACAATGATGTTGCTGGTTGAAAATTTCATCTTGATTGAAGTAGCGGCTTTGTATGCTGTTCGAGGAGAGCTGCTTTGTGTAAATGACGGGCATGGTTGGTACTTATATAGAATGCGGAAGCAGTTACACAGATAGTAAGTTATCTCAATGCCGATATTTCTGTTTATAGCTTGAGGAAGCATGCAACATTCTCACGTGCATCAACTGTCGTCTGATAAACCGGAGGTTACCAGTACGGGCCAACTCCAGCTTGGCGACCGCCACACTTTGCAAGGATATGAGTTTTCGTGCGCCAATTAAAAACGGGGGATAGATGGTAGCTGGGAGGCCCTGTACAGAAAAGACGGCTTCAAGTGTGATGACACGTCACTTCAAGCTTACTTTAACCGTTAATGCATTATTGACTCCGCAATGCGAGCCTTGGACCCATCGACAGGGCGAAATCGGATCTCACAGCCAAGCTTTACTGGGCATAATGCTGTGTATATGGGTGCCTAGCTAACTCGAATGAGTGAGGCTAGCAGAGTCATGAGCACAACTGGAATACTCTGAGGTGAGCGGTCGAAGGGGGAGTTGAAAGCAGCAACCGACCGGTTGTCGGAACTACTAGAATGATTATCGGAGTAATAGCTCACAGCGGGGATCTGCACTTCCACGAAACGTGCCCCATATCGGCCTCAGTAGAGCTCTAGTGGAACAAGTAGCCCATCATCATTATATAAAGAGATATCGGAGGCTGTGAGGGACCTTGAAGGTAGATATTCAACGTGCGTCAGGTTCCGATAGAACATACTTCTATTACTTCCCTCCAGGGAGAAATTGACTAATTACCGTATGATTTCAGCTGAGGAGCAGAAAATCCTACAAGAAATCGAATTTGTAGCCGCAAGATTTATACCTGTAGCCTGCTAAACTGTTGTTGTAATCGAGAACACCCAACCCGAGACTAGTATCCGTCATACGCTGGTTGTTTTCAAGGTTGCATGCGGGTCAGTGCTCCGGGTTACTCATTTGAAGTAGTCTGCCTCGGCTCTTTTAAAGCACGAGTTCGTTGTGGACGGGATGATCAATAGGTAACGCTCCTCCTATTTTTTATTCTCGGCCGAAGTAGCGAGCAACTCCCGCCTGGGCCTTTGAAACGATGCCCTTTCGTTGCCCGGCTCTCTGAGACTCAGACTCATCTCAAAGCTACGTGTAACGGGCGGCCGGAAGGCGCCAACCACGTCGACTATTATCAGTGAGTCAGTACAGTGCCTCCGCAAGTCTCGGCATTTGCAGACCAACGCCAAGCTAGATGTCGAGGCTAAGACTGTCTGAGAATAGTGGCTGAGAACTCACTGTCTCATTGTTGAATGGGCCAGCTTGCGAGTTCAATCTTTGATCGAGATCCAAAGAAGGCGATCGGACACATCTGAAGCAAGTCAACCACCATGCATGCTGCATTCTGCCACCCTAGCCATGCAACTAGTTAGCACGCCAGCCAAGATTGGAAGGTGTCTGCACCTGATAAATGGTGACCTATGTGAGGATGCGGCCGCCAGAGTCCCTGTTTCCTTCAAGCTGCTTACAGGGTGTCCTGGGATAATGTGCATCCTGTGGGAACTCGATCACTCGCTGCACGTCCGGGGCTGACCCGTCGGGTCAGCGACGTAAACATTACTGGATCAGATAACCTTTTAGAATATACATACGTCTTGATACTAATAGTATATCTACATCGAATTTCTGGCTGTGTCTGTGTAGGAGCATGCACCTTTGTCCAGTTTTCATTACACCAGCACGTTGTAGTGCTCATCAAGTAAACGATCAACTTGACGAATAGGAGACAGGGCTAGACAAGCGAAGCGAGGTGCCGCTTGTTAGTAGCGATTATAGAAGGATCTTGACAGCGAGTCATTTTCTTTCTTTTTATTGAAATAAAAAAAATCATTACTGATGAATGTCCTCCCTATCAGGGCGGGCTGCTTCCGGGTCCCAACCCCCATCATGCCGTCTACACCTGGTGTGACCTGCTCTTCTTTTCCTCCAGAGAATCTTTCTGCTGAGAAAGCTTCTGCTTACCGTTTCTAGATTTCCTTGTGCTCAAGTCGCATCTAGACGCTATGCAGCCTCTTTGTTGCTGCTATGTATGCCACATGAGCGCCATTGCCCATGTTGCGTTTAGCTCCATACACCAAGAAAGTTCGGCCCACCGCTTCCTCTCTAGCAGCTTCCGAGTGATTAAGATGTAGCAAGCCGGAGCTATCTATCTCCGCATAATATAAACGGCATATATAATCCAGTCGATGTCTTTTATTGAAGTCCAGCATCTCTCAAGTTATTAGGCACTCTACGCTGCCAATGTCTAGCAATCTATCGACACAGTGCTCGTACGCTCCTCCTAGAGCCCTGCAAGTGACCATATCCATCAATAACAGCCATCACGATGAACCTCAAGTGTACACAGCCGGTTCAGTTATCACGGGACGAGCAATAATTCACAGCGTTACTGCTATATACTGTGAAGAAGCCGAGATTGTTCTCCTCGTCCTAGCTAGGATGAGGCTAGATGTTACGAGACAAAAGCCCACGCGGGCGCTGTCGCCGTTCTTAAAGATGTATATGGCGGCCGAGCAGGAGAGTAGTAGCCTAGAACTGGATTCCCCTTTCCCGGGGTCTATAGCAGCCGTCGAGCTGATTTCATTACCTTTCAGTTTCGTTATGCCTCAGTACCTTCTCGAAGACTAATGCAACCACTACTACGTCAGTCAGGCTATCTAGGAGCGCCACTCCCGTCTGCCACCTACATTAGACGGCGCAAATACGGAGGAACACGAATTCCTAGCCCGCGGTCGGATACAATACTACGTCGAGATGCGCCTACGATACCACGACAACTCCGTCAATAATGGCGACGCAGGTAACATAATCTACGCCAAACATGATAATTCCAAGGCCATTGCGGGAAGGCAAATAGTGAGCATCCTTCCTGCTCTCCCTGAGCTACCCCCTCTTCCGCTAGATTCTAGGAATTTTAGCACATTTCTCCGAAGCAAGTCGATTTCAATCCGAAAGAATCTTCTGCAGCGCTCTGGTAGACTCAAGGTATCGAGCACGCAGCTAGCGACCATTTCATTGAGTGACTCCCTGTTTGACAGGTGGACATCTCGCATTTCCACAGCGGCCGACTTCGCCTCGAGCAGTACTGTAGAGCGTCAGATTTTCATGCTCATCATTCCTTTACTCCCCTGAATCGAATGGAAACCTTTTCTTCATGTCTCAGATCCACCGGCACATTGCCCAGTTTCGGCTTTGCCACTGAACCCTGGCCGGCGATATCTCATGAGGTGCAGCATGTTGTTTTATCCGCCACTCGCGAAGCCAAAGCCTTGGCTGGGCATGCCGCATGGAATCACCGCTGATTTGATTGTGTGCGATGTGGAGGAGTTGAGAAATGCGGTTCGCATTGATTACCTTTTCGGATCCAACAAAGACGCAGAGCCGTCCTCTGAACCGATTGATGAGACGCAAGCCTCAGCACTTATTGCCGCGTCTGAGCAGACTTCTTCAGACACAATGGTTCTGGTTATATTAGCAAGCGCTAATCGGGAAACCAGAGGCGCGGGGACAGCCGGAGGGGACAATATGCTCAGTGGGTAACTCACTATTTATGATTCAGATGCCAAAGTAGAAGAACAAGAGTTTTCAGTGTCAGATAAGGATCCTTTAGTTAATGCATTCAAGTCGGAATCGGATACGCGGCCAAATTTTCCTCAAATTTTCCTGTGTGACGCATCGCCCACGACATTTTTGGGCAATATCAGTATCGATTCAAGACATGGTAATGTAACTAGGCAGAAAACAACAGAAACAATGGTTAAAAAGGGCTGAAACAAGTAGCAAACAAACTATGCGCATCCAGGCGGCTGGCCGAGCTGCCCCGCGACAGACATCCATATGGCACGACATCAGTGCGCCTTAGAGATGGATTCGAGGTTTCAAAGGGAGTAGATAATCAGCACGGTCGACATGCGCTGGGGCGGGCGAGGACAATAAACGAAGCGTTCGGCTAATCACTTGCATTAGTGGGTGGTGAGACACAACTAGGTAGGTATCATTGTTGGGGTTACGCAGTAGCACCTCTACTAGTTCAATAGTCCAAGTCGGTAGCGAGTGAGCGGCCAGGTCACTCTCGCCTTGAATCTGCATTTTGCTCGCGCTCAGATTTTCAGAACATGGAGGAGAAACAGAGTACGCGTCTGAAAATGCCGGAGCAAGTTTTAACGAAACAAGAGTCCTCTAAATACAAAAAGTCTCAGTGCTCAGTTCCTCATCGGTGCAATACATACAGCGGCCATTGTTGGGCCGATACAAGAGATGTGCGATTTACTACTGCATCCCGAGGCTGGCTACTGCAATAGCGAGTCAGTCACCATGCAGGTGCAGCGTGGCGAACACGATGGATGTGAAATTATTCGTTTGAGCAGCACAGTGCAGCACATACCCCGTCTCTTTGGACTATATTCAGAGAAGCCCGCTGCATTGCCACTTGAACGATTGCTCTGGCAGCACCGCCAACAAAGAGACGCACTCTTTCCGCTTTCTTTCGGCTAATCTAGCCGCTGAGAGGTTGCCCCCTGCTAGGAGGCTTTCTTCGTAGGCCAGGCCTAAATATTACTTGTCCACTCACGTTGTCCCGTCCTCGTCTGATGGTTTAACGACAGGCACCGCAGCAGGAAACCCTGGCTCTTGCGATGGCTTCACATCCTGGGGTCTGGAGTTTGTCATGCATGGTTTCTGGGCGCCGCCTAGTCCAGCGGCTTGCCAACTGACAGAGAGGTAGGGGGCGTTGTAACCCTGTATGTGAGACCGGGATTCTTAGTCTGTTTTCTGTCTCTGATGGCCTCGCACAGTCCGGCCCCAATGGCACGCGTGTGAGCAGGGCATCGTATTGAGGCTTCTGCCCGCGGAGTTGCTGGACTTTCCCGTTTTTGTTTCACAGTCACTGTTGGTGTGCGTAGTAACTGCGGCCGCATCGAAAGGCCAGTCATCTGCTGTTTACTGCTAACTTTTTCACCTACTGCCGTACATGTATGTGCACCTGCCCATGGCCAGGCCGGCTTGACCGCATCTCCTCATACGCACTAACCCAACAAGGTGATGACTCCCTCCTGCCGTCGGTGTGCATTCTTCACCGTGATTCCGATTTCCTAAACCTCTCATATTTGAACAACTGAAACGCGATAAAAGCACTGATCTACTACTAGAGGTAGAATCGAGGGCTGGCCGCTGCTTTACTAGTATGGGGCTAGCCTCATCCCGACCGCTACTAAGAATCACCATTGCTACTACTGCAAGCTTTCGATTTCCCAAGTCATGGGGCTTTTGTCAAAAGCAGTAAAAAGGCCGAAAGACACGAATTCCATTCGAGGCGGCGGGAATATGCTGGACAGGACCCTTTCTGCTGACGATGCCTCCCTTGCCTACTCGACTTCATTAGCATCTCAGGATGCACTAATCAGCAATAAGACTTTGTCAACGATGTCATCAGATTGCAATTCGTCACTTGCGATGGGCTTCAAACGCTTGCCCACAGAGCTACGTCTCAAAATCTGGAGGCGTGCTAGCGAACCACGCGTCATCATTCTCGATGATCTCCTCCGCAAACCAGAGGCATACCCTCTGCCTCCAGTCACGCAGGTCAACCGCGAAGCGCGACTTGAGTCCCGAAAAGGTTATGAGGCTGTAGGCCCAGGACAATCTTCTCATGTTCATTTCGGGAGGGACATTTTTGTCTGCGATGCAAGCATCACCGAAGCTACTTCAAATGAGCCATTAGAGTCGCTTGCCACGCGAGTCGAGCGGCTCGCATTCTGGGATTGCTTTCCAGACGACAAAAGAGTAGAACTGCCCTACTTTTACTCAACGTACCTTGCGGCGAGTCAGGCAGCGGCCAGTGCTGCTATGATATCGGCCGGTTCTGTGCCATCTTCGTCGGGTGTGGCTGTTTCTTCTGTCGGATCCAGACTGCCGGCTGTCGACTTTGATAAACTCTGGTTCCCAAATTTACGAGAGTTGTGGATTGTGAAAGTTGGAGGCGTGAATAGGGCATGGTTGATTGACGCAGTATCAGAGCAAGAAGCGGCGTCTGCAGAAGCTGTAACAACAGGTGCAACATTACAATGCCCTTCATCGGTACCTCTCTCACAGCACCCACAATCACGCCAAAGCGCTCGCAAATTTCGGTACTGGGTGCAGGACAACGTTGTGGAGATGGCTTCCCTCAGTTTAGACGACCCGGATACGCGTCTCGTGCTACGTGAAGGGCGTTGCGGCAAGCCAGATTGCCACGAGCTCAATCGCGGGCGTCCGATACTGCTCTCCAAGGTCACTTTCATAGAGGGAAAGTATCAGCCATCTGAGGGGTGGCTGCGTATTGCACCGTGGGACGGGCGCAAACCCGCCGACACCAGTGCCAGTGGGAGCAGTATCTATGCCAAGGATATGGCTGAGTACAATGATGACCAGGCCAGAGACTGCTCTCGTAACTCGATGCGCTGGGTAGTGGTCGAAAGAATTCTTACCTTCTCCCTCCGATGGGAATCCCCTGATGATGCGGAAGAGGGCTCACGCCGACACATTAGATCGCAAAGCCACGCTTAGCACTAGATCTAAAATTCTTGCGCCTTTTGAGCTGAGACAGTCATTGAAGATGGGTAAAAATTCTCACTCGAAATTACTTGAAGGAATTGCCAAGGTGGCTGGTAGCTTGGTAGGAACGCCACGGCCGGGTTACACCACAAACTTGAGCAATAACTCTCCGTGGGTTTCCGCGTTTGAGTCCATGGGGGAAAGCTGGTTGCATTACTAGACAATGGAAAAGAATGTAAGATTAGGTTAGTTAGTGTTATATACATCAAGTAAAGAAACGACTGCATTTCCACATGGATAGATACTATTTATTCTCCTTTATGTCGGCTTGGTCACCTTGACTTATGCGATACTTGATCTGCCTGCTGGCAGCCAGTGCAAAGCAAATTATTTCTGAAACTTCAAACAGTGCTTGAAGTGCGCTCGAATTAAAAGGGAAATGTCAGGCGAGTGTTTGATCTGAGCCCATTCAGTAGATACCGGGAAGAATCTTCCATCGCACCACCGACTTGTATCTCTCCCAATCAGCGCCGTACTTTTCAGCACAATTTGCATCATCTCTGCCCTCGCGATGCATCAGGAGAACAGCAAAATACAGAGCGTGGAATGCGGTAAAAATGACGCCCCATCCCTTGGCCACACTCTGTACAACCTCGGTGCCATCGAGCATTCTATAACCCAGGACGTCCGAGGCAGCCAGGGCGCCAGAAGGCAGAATCACGTACCCAGCCAGGCCTGCAGCCAAGCTGAATGGCAGAGACTGCATCCAGTCGCCAAAGTAGTTGATATGACGCGATACTCCCCACCATCCAGAAGTCAAGAGGCGGGTGCCACGCTTCGTCTTCAGGTAAGACAGACCAGCCACACTAGGGTGTTCAGGTGTCTTGCGAAAGACGGCCTTTTGCGTGTTTGACGCGCGGAAGATATAGAGCCCAATAGCAAAAACACTGCTGAGTGCAACCAGACCTGGCCAGCCGAGTTGCGTGGGATAAACAGCCAAATAGCGGCACTGCATCGAGTAAATAAACGGCACCCAGACGATGTCGCCAAATGTAAGCATGAAGCCCAGTCCATCAGTGATTATGTCCATCATGCTAAGAATACCAGCCTCTGCATACTGGCCTTCAAGCACATAGTAGCCCTGGATAGCAGTCACAAAAACCATGCTGTCTGTGATATAGCCGTAGTTGCGGTACTGCTTGGCCATAAAGGCAAGGTCAAGTAGCAGCCATCCGGTTAGACCTGGACGCATCTCGAGCCAAGTTTTGATGTCTATTTTGCCAAATACTGGCAATGCGATGCGTGGATTCAACTCGCGGCCGATGTAGAAGTCGTACATGAGGTTTCCAGTGTGGCCACCCTTGGCCAGCTCGCGAAGCTGACTGTTGCCAGGTTTCACGCTGAAACTGGCAGCATAGACGTAGATGGAAATGGCCAAAGACAGAATAATATTGGCAGTTAGCAGCTGCAAATAGTTCTCATCAATCCATCGCCAGACAACAAAGTCGGCACCCCAGACGTAGGTGCCCACCGCACACGCGGCGACCTGTACCAGGGTAGAAGAGAAGGCTGCAAGGATTTCAGTTAGTATACTAGTAGCATCAACAAGAGCGAACAAGTCCATACCGTTGAAGCTATAATCTAAAGGGCGGCCGGATTCGCTTAGTTTCGCGCCGAGCACCCTCTGCGAAGGCAGTACGCGGAACAAAACCAGACTTAGGAGATAGTAGGCAAAGGTCCAGCCAGCAGCTTCTAGAGTGATGAATCCAGCAAAGCCGGCCTCGGGCCAGGGAATCTGGTCCTTGAGCACATTCCAGGTGAGATCGCGGGGGTTGAGCAAACCTGGCGCGGGGCAGCCAGATATGTCATTGCAGGCAAAGAAGAAGGCGTACACAAGCACTGGCAGGCCAAATACAATTGCAGCGGCAGCAAGCCTTTTAGTGCGTCAGTGTCTTGTGCATAGCAGTATTTGGGACTTACACTTACGGTCCGCCGAATTCGTAGTCAATTTTCTTGGCGTTGGGTGTCATGGTGGTGTCGCTGCCCCTTTTCAGATGCGAGGATGAAGGACACACAGCCTTTTAAATAGGGGAGGAAGGATGAAATTCAGGGATACAAGTACATGAACTATGATATGGTTCAAATCTTGAAATCCGTACGGGGCCTCCACTACATCTCAGCTATACGCGTATCGCGCGTATCGCAGGATGTGCAGGTTTTAAATAGATGCAAATTGTCGAAATGCAGGTGGAGTTGTCGTTGCGGCTCAGGCTGCTCAGGCAATGCGGCTGGGAGATTTCCGGTCGCATTGCTTGTGGAGTCACGATTTCATGCCGTCTGTCGAACCCGAATACGATGAGATCCCGAATCGCAAAATTCATGAACATTTCTTGAACTGGTCTAATTCTTAACAGGTTCAACTTCTAGTACTCTAAATTTAAAAGTCAGTGGCAGTATCACGCGCGACGTTGTCTGACAGCCTGGGAGGGGGAGTCATGAAAGAGAGCCGAAAATTATTTCATTTCATAATAAGCACTTCATGACAGAATGCTGATTATCAATTTCACTTTCACGTACTGTGGCGCGATTCATCTACATATTCACTCAAACCAAAATACCCGCCAGAGCAGCCGCACCAAGAAGCCCCATCACTGGGGTAGCGACAGCAGCAGGTCCCTTGGAGGAAGATGTGGAAGCTGCTCCTGCAGTTGAACCGCTGCTGGCAGCAGATCCAGCACTAGTTGGGCCAGCATCAGCAGCCGCACCGAGTTCGGATGCGAGTGCCTTGGTGGCTTCGGGAAAGTCACTCGCAGTGGTACTAGCCAGTCCCCATTGTATGCACACTCCACTCAAGGCAGTCCCCCAATCTATGAGTCGGTTAGTAATGGCGATGTTCGGTATTATGATGAATTGATGATATCAAGACATACTGGCCTGGCAATTGGCGTCGATTTCAGATGAGCTCATGGTGACGATGATGCTAGCCACATGCTTGCACAAGCAATCAAACGTTCCCGCTCCAATGCTCTTGACATCGCAGCGCTCATTTTCGAGAGCGTCCTTGAAAGCAGAGTAGGAGCACTGAGGAAAGTCTTTTACAGACCCGGAAAGTGACTCGAGAGCAAGTGCGCCGATAGCGTTGGCCACTCCAAGAGCAGCGAAAGTAAAGAATCGCATGGTGAATCTGCCTAAGCAATGGTGAGACGGTACAAGAACTCAATAAAAAACTTTCTCTACATCAAGGAGTGAAGAAGAGAGAGAACATCAGTGTCTCCAGGAGTAGCCACCAGTTGTTTAAAAACTGGTTTACGTGTAAGCCACGAGCAAAGCAAGGGCCTTGCGATGAGAGCAATCTTAGGGCTCTCAGCTCGCAATGGCCTTTCAAGGCTGATTCAGATCATCCAAGACGGCGTTCCAATTTCCTGATGTGTTGCTATTTTCGTCCTGGTGCTTTCTTCACAGCAGTAATATTTCCTCCCAATTCCACGCTAAGCCTTGCGCATGCCTCTCTTGTTGCAATTGGGCTTTCAGCTCCTCGCATTTCGACTCAATGGGGAAACAGAGACATCGTCTGCTCCAGACACATTGTGACTTGAAATTGTCTCGAAGCACCAAAGATTCGTTACTGCCCCTTTGATTGTCTCTTTACCCAACTTATTCGGCTGAGCTCCAGGATGCAAACCATGCATACGCCAAATTTGCACCTAATCTACAATGATTCACCTTTTGAACGATACCTGGCCCTTCTAGAACGTCGCGCTACCAGTTTATGGTAGCCACACTTTGGGATGAAGTAAAGTCTGACGCGAGGAATTGGACTGATTGGCAACTAGTCTATCCATTTCTTCAATGAGATCCTCACGACAGAATCGTAGGGGCAAAACAGCTGTGTTTTAGCCACGAGATTGCCAGTTTACAACTGATGGGAGCTCAAGCATTGAGACGAGAGCATATTGAATAAAAAAAAAGATAATGATGTGTTCATTGCTCACGTCCAAAAAAGATGAAAAAACGAAAGAGAAGAAAGAAGGAGAGACGATTATTGGCGCTCACAATGGCGCCACAGCTTATCTCTGTGCCTTTCAGCAACTGTGGCTCAACATGCTCCCATGCGCCACACCAATCGTCACTAGCTCCAATTAATACCAAGCTATTTAATATCTTGCTTCGACGTTTCCAGCTGCCATTCGACGTTAGCAACCGGAATTACGACAAGGCGTCGCGCGTCAATTAAGTCGACCGGATTTCGTTATTTTAGATCCTACCGGCCGTTCTTTAAGCTGGGCAGGGCGCCTGCCATGGCATAGGATTATCACTATCTGAGAGCACCAGATTTGAGCCATCGACGTCATGTCAATGGCGCCCGCGCGACAATATGCCTGCCCACGACAAAACAGTCGATGAAGCGAAGAAGGGGAGGATCATCAAGTCTGCCTTCGATAGTGAGAGCTTCGAAGCTGATGGCACAATCCATGTGGACGGCCTTGTAGGCTCGGCGACAATCTCACCATCCGGTCGAGATATTGCTCTAGCATCGTGAGTGTTTAACTACGCGCTATATTGCACCTTCGCTAACCTTTTTAGCCCCGATGGCCTTGCAATAATTGATCTGGACTCTCCATACAATCCGCCTCGTCGACTCCGCAGTCCTGGAATGCCATGGCTCGTCGTGGATGTGCAATGGTCGCCCTTCGCGGCACGAGATTACTGGGTCGTCTCTACAGCCAACCACCGGGCCCTTGTATGGAATCTCAATATGAGAGAGGACTCAAGCTCCGGTCCGATCGAACATTCTCTTCAGGGACATAGCCGAGCCATCACCGACGTCAACTTTTCTGCACACCACCCCGATCTTCTGGCGACTTGCTCAGTTGACGGCTCAGTTCACACGTGGGATCTGCGACGGCCCCGCCAACCGGTTCTCACATTCTATGATTGGTTCGCCGGCGCGACGCAGGTCAAATACAACAGACAAGACTCCCACATCGTCGCGTCAGCGCACGACCGATGGCTCCATATATGGGATGAGCGAAAGGCGTCGAAGCCCCTACGCTCTATCACTGCACACACATCTAAGATCTATGGTATTGACTGGAACCGAACGAGAGTTACCGGAATTGTTACTTGCTCTTTGGATAAAAGCATCAAATTCTGGGACTATGAAACTGGAGGAGACGACCCGGAACACATCATCCGAACGGATTATCCTGTATGGCGAGCACGGCACACCCCCTTTGGCTGGGGCATTCTGGCCATGCCCCAAAATGAGCCAGGTGATCTCTTTTTATACGATCGCCTCTGGTCGGACGATTCTCCAATCGACACTTCGCCTGCGCCTGTGGCTATCTTCCCTGGCCACGGAGACCACAAAGCCAAAGAATTCCTGTGGAGAAGCCGTGGTGGCGTTTCGGAAGCAGGTATGGACGAGCGCGAGTTCCAATTAGTATCATGGGGAACGGATAACGAGCTGCGATTACACTGTATCGACAATTCCACCCTTCGCTCCGTCAATCATGAAAAGGGGGGACCTGCAAGGAAAGGTCTCAAGATTACTCGGAAAGGCGCGAGCTATAGGACGTTCCGAGCGGTAGATGATGCACCAAACAAGGAGCGCATAACCGGAACAATGAGTGATCAAAGGATAACTGGAAATTCTCAGCAAAGAAGCACCGTCAATGCCGGCTCTCGAGTAAATACACCCTTTCACCGCCACTCGCGGCCTGTTTGGCGCGGTCCTGCGATGAAAGCTAAGGTGTTTTCAAACAAAAAGTCTACAGACAGTCAATCAGCGATTGGGTGGATGAAAGGCATAACGATGAACAAGCGCAAGGCTTCAACAGATAACCTTCGTCGGCTTCAGTCCAAAGACGGCATCATGTCTCATAGCTTTCCAGAGGACCAGTGGGGTGGACCTGATACCATCCAAGAAGAGCTGCTACGCGTCAGCACACAAATTCCCAAGGTCAAATGGGACAACATCGACATGGACAGCTTGACATTCAATGCATCCTTGACAGGCCCGTGGGGCGTCGACGGTGACTCCATTTTCATCCAAATCCAAATTGCTGTTCCCACAGGATATCCAAAACACAAAGCGCCCAGATTCACCATTGAAAAGTCTTCATTCATGCCAGAAGAGACACACAGGAAATTGCATCGCGAAATACACAAACTGGCGAATCAGTTCTTGCTGCGGAAGCAAAACTGTCTTGAAGTCGCATTTACCTATCTTCTCGGCGAAGTGGACCTGGAAACAAGCACTACGTTCTTCAAAAATGTGCGTGATCTGGACGATGACATGGATGGCCTGGCAGATGATAGTTCGAGTGAGGATGAGGATCCGGCAGCCGCCGGGTCGGCGTCAATGTCGCAAGAGCTTCCCCACGCCGGCGAGGTTGATACGACAATTGCTCCGCATGGTCGTGCAATAATGCCTCCGCCTCCTCGCACATGTGGCGCCCGGTTCTCTAACGATGGTAAGCTCATTTGCTTTTTTCCTACCAAGGAAGAGAAATTCCGAGCATTGTTCTCTTCTACCGGAGAAACCGTCAAAGACAGACCAAGAAATGAGCCGTTCTTTGCTGGCTTTGGGCGTCTGTCGTATGACCAGAGTCCGCGTCAGCGGGACAATGTCGAGGAAGCGTCTGCTACTGATGATCAGTCAGCAGACTCTGATTCAGATCGGTCATCCTCAGGATCCTCTTCCAGCGACTCAGAATCTACGTCTATCCATAATATGAATATGTGGTATCGTCCGAGTCGCCAGCCAAAAAAGGCATGGAGTGAAGACCGTTCGGTGAGATCTAGTGGCGCTGGCACTGGCACTGGAACAGGCACTGGCATTGGAACGGCTACCGGCACTGGAACAAGCCGGCGCCGCGTGTTCAAGGCACGTAACATCATATCAATCCATGATCTGCGTGCAGATCTGCCTGCAAAAAGAGAATTTGCTGAGGAATATGCTATTTTTGGAGACGGTGCAGATGTTTGCAACCACAATGCGCGGGTTGCTGAGAAATTCGGCTTTTCTGATCTTTCAAACATCTGGCTGTATCTGGCTCTCCTCCTACACAAGGGCATACCACTAGAAGTCCTGAAAGGCAATGCAAAATGCGACTCGATCCTAGTCATCGCGCGAGATGTTGTTTCACGAGTCGGCTATATTGATAAGAATGCATCTGCAAATGCGTGGTCGCATGACAACGCTCTTTTTGGTAGAGTGAGATGGGGCCAGCATCCCTTGGCCAAGGATCTCATTGCCAATCTGTTTGATCATTTTGAGAGCATGGCTGACATTCAGATGCTAGCTATGCTTGCGTGCATTTTCAGCGAGGCGTCGACGAACGACGGCGTTGCATATGCTGAGTCAAATCTACCGAAGCAAGAGACACCCTTGCCGTTGAAAGCACCATCTTATTCTTTAGACTACTTCCCCGCAGATGCTACGTCATGGAATATCTATAGCAGGAGCTACACCAACTCTGCCATAACGACACCTGGGACACTACACACTCCGGTCAACTATGCTAGATCACAAGCATCAGACGATGGTACTTGGAACGCCGAGACAGGACCGAACTCTTTTTCGTGTGGTGAGACACCGCCGCCAAAGAACAAAGTGTTTTTCAGCGACCAAGAAGCCGGAGCAATGCTCTCCAAGTCTCCAAATTCGCGGCCAATCCAACATAAAGGCAACGCCGGATTTGCGTCGGCATTTGCTGCCAATCTGCCCCGCTCATTTACTGGAACAGCGACATCTTCATCGCCACCTTCACAAGGAAAGAAGAAGTCTAGTCCAGCAGAGATGATGCTAAACAGCATCGCACCCCGCACGGGAAGTAGCGGTGGTGGGGGAACCATAGCCGTGATTGGCTCCGGTGGCGGGAGGACATCTATGTCGGACGACGATGCTCAAACAGAGGACCTGACAGCGTTGGTTCCTACCCATGTCGCAATAATTCTGGAGGACCAGAGCATCTTTGACGACGATGGGTGGATGTCGCATCCACTACTTGACACGAGGCTGTCAGACCTGCATACTAACTACAGATACGCTTATGCGGAGCTGTTACAAATGTGGGAGCAACCATTGGCTCGTCTTGAGGTGATGAAGTTCAACATTTTGAAAGATGATGGATCGCCAAATGGACTTGGAGACTGTCAGTTCAGCGGCAATGACAGCAGTATGTTGCCAGGCAAGTCATCACCTCTTGTGATGGGCAAACAGGATAATTTGCAGGCTCTCCTGGCTTCAGGCCGCGGCCTGGACATCATTGGCCTTTGTCGTGTCCATGAGACACAGCTAGAGCCACTGCAGTACATTACCTCTGACCCCCGGGTTGGCGGCGCTGTTGGAACTTGCGATAGATGTCAGCAACGCCAAGACAAACTTCTCTGCGTATACTGCACAGAGCCTGTCGACGCCTTGTTCCCAACCTGTCTTGCGTGCGGTTGCGCTAGCCACGAAGACTGCCTGGGTGAATGGCATGCTGCCGGCGAAGAGTATTGCCCAGCAGGCGACGAGTGCAATTGTGTGGAAGAGGCGGCTAACGGACAAGTAGAATCCTGGGCGGCACTACAGGCAGCGATGCTCAAGGGCCGACAGACGGTGGGCCTTCTCCCAGATCCTGCGGTAGGGAGTGATGACGAGGAGGTGGAGGCTGTGCCAGAGAAACAGCCACGGGGATGGGCGCGTTTAGGTTTCGATGCAGCAGGGAGCAGCAAATCAAAGCTGCCAGGGACACCGCCTGTATCACTTGGATTTGGACCGTTCAAGCGGACAGCCGGTTCGTGGTCACGAAACACGGGCCAGAAGCGTGGCGGTCGGCGGGGAGGCTAGTTTTCTCTCGTTGGATAGACCATGTTTCTGCGTGCGCAATGTTTCGAAGGAGTAAGATGTTGCTTCTTGTGCATTATGAGCAACTTGTTTCGAAGCAGGCGTTGGCGAGCAGCATTGCCGCATATTGCCGTTGATGATAGTGTAACCGTAATTATATAATCCCATGCGAATATTTGCGTTTCGAATCAAGTGCGTAGGAAGCATGGTGCACTGTGACCTCCGCAGCTTCCGTCCAAAACGCCACGAGAGATGTTGGTGGGGTGGGCAAAAAAACCGTTGCCAAGACGAAGGCACCTGGGACGATCTATCACAAAAAGTACGGGCACCCACACAGTGTGGATGTTCTCACTTACACACAATCTCACATGTTTTGAGTCTGTTTCTTACCAGTGGCAAAAGACAAGACCTTGCCCGGCTGGTTTCCTGATGTCTGTCTGATTTGATTATTGTTACAGTATTGGAAGACTATCCGCAATGGCCAACTCGTCAGCAAAGCTCCCCGTCGTGCGTATTGGCACACGCCAATCCATTCTGGCCAACGTTCAAGCCGAAAGTGTTCGCGACGCTCTACAAAAGCATTTTCCAGACAGATCCTTTGAGGTCGACGCCATGCGTACTCTCGGTGATCGCGACAAGATCACGGCGCTATACAGCTTCGAGGGCAAGAACCTGTGGACATCTGAGCTTGAGGAGAAGCTGACAGCAGGCAAGGTTGATGTGATCGTTCACTGCCTCAAGGGTGCGCTTCCGCTCTCTCTTCTACTGCAAGCGCAAACCGCTGACGCTCATTCATCAGACATGCCGACAAATCTTCCCGACGACTGTGAGCTGGCCGTCATCCCCGCCCGCGACGACGCCCGCGACGCCCTCATTGTCAAGGCGGGTCTGCCGTTCACGAGCCTGCAGACGCTACCCGAGGGAGCCGTCGTGGGCACGTCTTCAGTGCGGCGTGCCGCCCAGCTGCGCCGCCTGTACCCGCACCTACGCTTCGCGAATCTGCGCGGCAACGTCGACATGCGGCTCGCCAAGGTGGACAGACCCGACGGCGAGTACGCATGCATGATTATGTCGGCAGCGGGGCTGGAGCGCATGGGCTTGCAGAGCCGCATCAGCCAGCTTCTCGGCTCGCGCGACGGCGGCATCTACGCCGCCGTCGGCCAGGGCGCGCTGGGCCTCGAGATACGACGCGGAGACGCGGCGACGCGGGCTCTGCTGCGACCTATGGCGGACGAGCGGGCTACGCTGGCGTGTCTGGCGGAGCGCGCTCTGCTGCGGCGTCTCGAGGGCGGGTGCACGGTGCCGGTGGGCGCCGAGACGGAATGGGTCGCGGAGCACGGCGAGGGGGCACGCAAGCTGCGGCTTCGGGCGATTGTGGTGAGCCTCGACGGCAAGACGGCCGTGGATGATGCGCTGGAGCGGGTCGTCGAGACAAATGACGATGCCGAGGCGTTGGGCTATGGTATGGCCGACGTTCTTGTCAAAGCTGGTGCTCGGGATATTCTGCAAGCTCTAATTGCGAACCGATCTCCAAAGGAGTAGACGTCTTTTCGTCTCACCTGCCTATTGATCGTGGCATGAGGGAGGAAATGTGTGTCTCTGAAATAGCCAGCGGCTCTACAAGCCGTCGAAGAAGTAGGTAATGTTTATTCGTGTTTAAAGTAGTTTTCCAGGCGCTGCGCTGAGTCCCACAGTACATATGCAAAGGTAGGTGATGGGAAGCTTCAAGTATGGATGATGAATCCAAAGCCGCTTGCAAGATGATATTCCCGATTTCGATTGCCAACATAGAATCTTGGGAGAGAAGGTCAAGACACTTTCTTTCAGTCTGATCATCTACCCCTTCATTTCCATTCATCTTGCTGGGCCAGCAACTAAAAGTAGCTTTGCGGGTTTGTTGGCACCCAATGACGACGCAGTTGCAAGTACCTACAAAAAGCCCGCCAACCGCCCACTGAGGGGTCATTTGGCCTTTGGCGATTGTCGCGAAACCCCCCACGCCACTTATTACCAGCGGCAACTTTCCCCTCCCGTCGTCGGTCCGCCAAGAGCTCCCCCAAGGCCTCGCTTATTAATTCCTCGCATTCTACCTCGTGAGCACAGCTTTCCACCGCAATCTACAAAACTTTCGCTTCTTGTCTACCAATAAAGCCCTGCAGCCGCAGCAACCGCAACCAGCTCTTCGAATTCAGCTGTCGCATGCCCCGCCTCGCCGTCACCTGCAGCTGACCAGTCCCTTTACGCGCGCCGCCGCCCAGCGACACATTATCCATTATCTGCGAGCCCAAGTGCCTTACTCCCAAACTTGCCTGTTACGACTCAAGATATCATCCAGGACAGAAACACAAGAGATACTATTGTTGAACGAGCCGCCTTTCCCACTCATACCACCTATACGAACCCGTGACCATGGCTCTGCCGAAGCGAATAATAAAAGAGACGGAGCGTCTCATGGCCGAACCGTACGTCAATGTTGGGCCTGAATCTTGGGAATGCTAGCGACCGCCGTTTTTCAATACTGATCGGTCAAATCTTTCCTCTGTCATTACAGTGTCCCCGGAATCAGCGCTATCCCGCACGAGGATAACCTGCGTTATTTTGACGTTGAAATCCACGGCCCTGCGCAATCACCCTACGAAGGTCCGTCCGTCCCGTCCCGCCTCGCAACGCCAGCGATGACCTCACATGCAATATGAGAAAATGCAAGACTGACGCGCAACGCTTCCGCAGGTGGCATTTTCAAGCTCGAGTTGTTTCTGCCCGAAGACTACCCCATGACACCCCCAAAGATCCGTTTCCTCACAAAAATCTTCCACCCCAACGTCGACAAGCTCGGTCGCATCTGTCTCGATGTTTTGAAAAGTACTTATCTCGCAAATCCAGAAGCGTCTTGTTGATATTACAAAGATCACTGACACATTTTCTTCAAAGACAACTGGTCCCCGGCCTTGCAAATTAGAACAATTTTGCTGTCCATCCAGGCCCTTCTCGGCGCGCCCAACCCCGACGACCCTCTTGCTGCCGACGTCGCAAAGAGCTGGAAGGAGAACGAACAGGCCGCGATTGCCACGGCCAAGGAATGGACAACCAAGTATGCCAAGTCTTGATACAATTCAAAAGCGTAGGGAGGGGGGAAGATAAGCTACCGTGTTACAGCATTTGAAGATCTTCGATAGTCTGGAGGGCATTGCATAGGAGCTTGCTTGTTGGGTCACGTTTAGGAATTCGCAATTATGAACAATGATGAAAAAAATCAAAACCTGTCTACACTCATCAATACTCACCTCGATCGTCGAATATGTAGGAGAGGTTGTCGCGGCTCTCGCCTGGAGCAGGCAAACAGGTCACATTGTCATGGTGAGCATCACTTGGGTCTAAGTAGAGACGTAGCCCTACCACTTTGATATATTGTATCTACAATGCTAGAGTACACAAAGGAAAGCTGTAGGGTTGCAAAACCGGGCAGCGTAAGCTGATTATACAAGCGCAAGATCGCCAAACTTCTCCTATTTTGGGGGTCAGCACTGCGGTCAGTAACTCGCACGGGCAAGACAAGACGTACCTTGTAACCAGGGACCATCCACCGGCCCTTGGAGATGAGCTGAGTAGCCTTTTCGTCGATGGACTTTTCGGCAGCGGCAACTTCGTCCTGTTAAATATCTCATCAGCACCGATCCGGGCAATAACCACATGGGATCCACCATGATGAGCCCGGCGTAAACATACAACGGTGAGTTCCTCAAACGGACGGGCCTCCTCAATGTTCTTGAGAGTAGCGGCGAGATCCTTGAGTTCGAGGTCGACGGCCTGCTTGGTGGCCTCGGCGTTCTTGACGGCCTCGACCTCAAAGGCGTCAATGGCCTTGAGCTGGCGGTTGACGTCGTAGGTGGCGGGCTTGAAGGCAGTAAAGCGCTTCTCGATCTCGTCGACGACAGCCTGGTTCTTGAGGCTCGCGCGGTAGTGGGCGAAGTCGACCTTGGTAGCCTGCTCCGACAGAAGCTGCACCTTGCGGCGGGCGTCCTCGTTGCGCTTCTTGAAGGCCTGCAGCGAGGCGACCGTGTTGCCGCGGAGGCCCAGCGAGCTGGTCACCTTGGACCAGTCAAGCTTCAGAGCAGCGCTTCGCTATTGGGCAGTTAGCTCAAAACTGCCTGTCGTGTTTGACTTTTTCCCCCTTCATGGCTTGCTCGGGTCGAGGGGGATTCGGCGGATCCGCACGATCGGGGGTATTTCCTTTTGTCGTCGCGAGCCAGACGCCTTGCCGCGGAGGCTACATGGCTCGGATCGGGTTCGGAGTATAATTCGCGTACGGATCGCCTCAATTGGAGGGTTTTCGACTTACCGTGGCCATTTTGTCTTTGATTGTGAGGTTTCTCGGAGTGGAGAGGTATATGCTGGTCCAAGGTGTTGATGACTTTGCTACCGCCCCGAGCACCGCAGGAACGAAGCGCAAAAGTGACTAAATCACGTGACCGCATCGCGAATTGTCCCGAGCTTGGTCTGTCACAAATGGAAACGCGCTACCCTTTTGATTTATATCAAATGTCAATCAAATGTTAACCGTTCCCTTCGCGCAATTCTGTTGTCACTAAGCTGTCAATTCAATTGGTCATGCGCGTCAAAAGGGCACAATAAGACATGCAGACGAGTGCTTGTTCATTTGATTCCCATTTTAAGTAGATATCAGACCCATGCAAGGTGCCAATGTACATCTATACAGTGGCCAGTATATGCGTTTTACCGCATTGCCGACATATGAACAGCTTTTCCCATCCCATGTTCTCTTTTGTATGCTTTGAAGTAAAGACGAAAACGATTTTATAACACATCAAGGCTAGATACTGAGAGCCATGATGGAATTGACAATGTCGTTGTCGTTTTCTTTGAGAGCTTTGATAGCCTTGTTACGGCTCACATTGGCCTGTGTCATGACCAGCTCGATATCTTTGTCCTCGATGCCCTCAGCATCGACCTCCTCGTCGTCATCCTCCTCTTCCTCCTCCTCCTTCTTAGCATCGCCGTCCTGGGCGTGGCTGTGGCCGGCGTGATCGTGACCGGCGTGCTCACCACCCTCAGCAGCCTGCTGAGCAGCCATCTGCTGGGCGGCGGCGGCCTGGGCGGTTGCGTTGATGTCCTCAATCTTGGCCTCACCAAAGACACTGCAGGCGACCCTCTGTCAGCACTTCCGTCTCCTTTGCATGGCACTGTTTTGACAATGTAATCACCAGGAAACTCACATGTAGGTGTTGCTATTGGGGGACTTGTAAACCTCGGGGTTGTTGATAACGAAGAGGATCTGTTTGCGTTGATTAGATTGTCTGATTCCGTCCATTCACACTGCAGTTCGTGTTTGATTTCCAAAACTATATCACGGTAGACGTACATTCTTGGGGCGGCGGAGGGTGACACGAGTAATGCCAGGCACGCGGGTGAGGTGCAGCTTCTCGAGAGCCTTGCGGGCCTTCTTCTCGTTGCGGGAGTGAACAACGGCGGTTGAGCCGGCGGGCAGGTTAGCCTCGCCCTCCTCGACGTCGGACTCGTCGCTGCTGTCGTTCTGGTCGACGGTGGGACGTTGGGTCTCGTCGTCGGGAAGCTCTTCGACTCTGGGGTTGGCCATTGTGACTGATGTGTACGCTATTTCGGCCGGTTAGCAAGTCATTACATCCCCGCACCACCATGCATTTTGCTCCCAATCGAGTCTCATTCCCCTGGCTTCATCCATATAACAAATTGGCGCTATTCCCGTAGTTGGGGCGGTGGCTACTCACAGATTCTTGTCAAATCCTATGGGTCGTGCTCAAGCTACGATTCACTGACGCCTGCGTTTTGTGAGGCCAAATCCGCACAGCGAAATTCTAGGGTTTGGTGGTGGACTAACGCTAAGCCATATTCGGTAGTCCACCACTACCATCCTGGATTGCTGGGGAACGTCAGGGAATGACGATACCATGCCAAATGAATTAAGGCAACAATTTAGATAAATCCTTTCATTATACAGAGTACGATTTACGATTTTAACGATTCCCAGTTCACTGCGCTGTGCACCCTTTTTTTTTCGTTCTTTTTTTTGTAATTCGTTTGAATCTCTGAACTTCCGTATTGACGCCGCTCATCCTTATCGATGAAATGTGACATACAGCCCTTCCAGAACGGGGATTGGGGGTTTATAAAAGAAAAACAGCAAGCAAATTCCGAATGCTGTCATGCTGCCGTGATGCGTTTGCCTATCCGGACTTTTCATACCGCAACCATCTATACCGTGAAATCCTCTCCTCGCGCGACCCAAAAATCATCCCTTGATCAAGACTCCAACGTTTCAATTGAGCTCAATGACGAATGGATAATTATGCGGAAGCCTTGATCTTGGCCAAAGCCTTGCGCTCCTCGAATCGGCGCTGGGTCTTGAGGCGCATAACCTTGAAGCGGTCGAAGTCGGAGAGGGCCTTGCGCTTGGCGAGCTGGGCACGCTTCTTGGCCCAGTTGGTCTCCTTCCACTTGGAGTCGATCTCGGCTTTCTCCCACTGCTTCTTTAGGGCGGCGTGGCGCGAGCCACGGATGAGACCGGGGATGACGAGGGGCGACAGGAGGACCTTGTTGAGGGGAACGGCTTGTCTCGGGACAACGAGGCTTTCATCTGAGGAGGTGCCTTCAACGAGAACCTAAATTCGGTAGACGATTGTCAGTAAAGGACTGCTCCCATCACGAGACCGTATGTCTCTTCCACTGGCGATCGTCGCGCCTTCCGTGATAGTCGAACGTACGCGCTTGTGGTCGATGATCTCGACAACGGCAGCGATTCTGCCAGTGTAGGGGTGATCGTTGCTGATGACAACAACACGGCCGACCTCAACGAGGCGCCAGTTGGATCCCTCAATCAGAGCTTCGCCCATTGTCACTATTGTTGATCTGGAGGGGAGGAACGGTCAGCCCAATGCTCTAGTCGTACGATGCAGCGTCTTGAGTTCGAAATCGGAACTGATTGTATGCGCTTTCGGGGACGGAGAATGCTGTTCGTACCAAATGTCGGATATGGTCTGGGTGGATGTGGTTTGGAGATGCCTACACCTTGAAAGCACCAAATGACTTTTTGACGGTCTCGGCTAAAGCCAGCGTGTGGGTTAAGAAAAATCACAACGTGCCCTAACGAAAATTCACGGATTATTAGTTTTGCCCCGCCCCGAGAACCCTGCTCCAGACCCGCAGTGTCTGTGCTCCACTCTTTCCACTCGTCGCCTACTTTATTAGCTCCCAACTGCTTTTGTTTTCTCTTCAGCAAAACCTTTGCTTGATATGATTAGCTCTGTTCTCTTTGAGTACAGCTCTCGGGACTAGACAGAGACGATACCGTGCAGCGTGCTTCGAAAAAGTGTTTTCCCTAGCTGCTATTAATGGTAAGATTGCTCCTTCTCATTCTCTTCCGCTCGCGATCACACTGATGAGGTAATTTGCGATTGATTCTGGTCGGTGGCTCTCTCGCCGGAGATGCTAAACCGTCCAGATATATGATATTCAATTCTTACATATTCTGAGACTCGATTGCTCAATCATACTCTTGTTGTATCCACAGCAGTTGATATTAGTTGCTAACTGGTGCAAAAGAAGACAGGTCTTGAATTAGCAATGCGCCGACCGATTAAACCGTAGCCAATTCACGATCACTTAGACGACATATAGAGCGAACATGATGACAATATATTTGATTGTGGCAGCCTGCTGAGCCAAATATTGACCGTGAATGCGCAGTTTCTACCAGGCCGCCTGATAGGAAGGAGGCAATGGGCGGCATCCAATCCTATGGTACCGTCACGTACATAAACTGAAACCTGCTTATTAACGCGCATCGTTATGAACGTTGGCCTCAATATTCGAATAGATGGCGGTGCGAAACGGCTTGTAGGATTTGCTCGACGCATCGACTAGTCGGCATTGGCTACCTAGGGAACGACACTTGAAACAATACTGTGCTATCCGTCGCAAGCCCATGAGCGTGCACGCTTGCGTGATGGACGTGGAATTGCATGTCTATTTGAGTAATCATTACCCAACTCTTCTTGCTTACAAAGTTGTGGATGTAGATGCACTGGCAAGCAAGTAATGGCTCGACTCCATGATTGTTCTGCACTCGTGGAGCCAGCACCAGATGCGTATGATCCAATTTCAACGACAGATAAAATACATCGCATCATCTAACCTTACGACACGATCGTTCTCTCTGCGCGTTTGCTAAACAAGCGAGCATCAGTGAAAGCGGACGTGGAATGAGGCAGGCTTGTCTACCCTTCCTTCATTGACGTTCTCATGCCAACACTGCAGACAACTACTTCAGACGCTAGCTACCTATTAACTGTGAAGGCTCAGATGCACTGTTTTCCTGGGTTACCCTAGACTGGAATCAAAGAATATTGATGCCGCCGCTTAAGCTCATAATTTGTGTGAACTGGAGAGAATTAAACGTTCATTGATGACGGAAGTAAACTTGGGTTTCGTAATTTCGACTGGTGGCATGTTATTGCACTTCCGCGTCAAGTGCTGCGCAACTGTTGAAGTCTCAATTGCTCTTCTGGCATAAAGTACCTTAGGTTTAGCTGCACTGGCCATTAATAACAGCTCCACGGCCAACGCTAACAGGTACCTACCAGGTACCTTCTACATAGGTAGAGCTCCGACGTTAGTCACGTCCGAGCAGAACGTCATTTCGGCTGCATCGTGTTATCAGCTCTCGCAAAACACATCAACCATCTCCCCAAGAACTGATTCAGCCTTGCAAGGCCCAATCATCACAATGTTTCGCTTCGTAAGTTCATTGAAGCCAAGTAGTCCACCCGTCGGTGCGCTCTCCCCTCGGTTGAGATGGGAAGCTGACAAAGAGCTCCTCCCCGCCAAACAGAACAAAGGGCTCGACATCGTCACCGTCTTCCACAAGGCCAGCTCCCCGGCGTCCGTTAGAGTCACCAATCTAGTCAAGCAGGTCTCGGCCAACGCGCAGGCCGGTGCCACCCTCGATCAAGCCAGCGACCACTCCGTTCAGACCGAGCCCGGCCGTGAGCCCTTTGAGCTCAACATTACCGAGGACCCCCCCACCACCGACCAGGTACAGACCATCTTGGGCTACGTTGGATCTGGCGGCATTGCAAAGGTTATAAAGGGTGCACGCGACGAGAAGGACGCCCTGAAGCGATTCAAGGAGAGCAAGGAAAACTTCCTCAGACCCCTAGTGAGTGCGCCTTACACCAACTGTGATTCGCGAATCACCTGCTGACGAGAGGTTTCTGTAGACTGTCGACTGGAACAAAGGCAAGGCCATTGCCGGTGACAACGAATCTGAAATACTCAAAATTCTCAACGCCAAGAAGAGCGACTAGGAAAGACAAGGCCTCAACGTGCCTCTAATTGTGTGTAAAATAGACTTCATTTTGGGTTATAACTAGTTCGGCTCTATACAGCGACATTCCTCAGGCAAAATACTTCTGGCAAATGTTAACACAACTCACAGTGAAATGAAAGATTCAGTGCACATTGGCTTGTGCACGGAACCAACGCCGGCAGGCAAGGTCAATTAACCATCAAACAGCATGCCTGTATGCCACTCACATTCTCTCACTTTTGGCTGACCCATCAATGCTGTGGAATCAAGTGAGCACGAAATGACTGTACGGAACAGTATTCATTCACTTGATCAAACCCGCCGTTTGCATTTCGGCCGTCGCTAAACTGGCAAAACAAAATTGCATCCATACAAGCCAAAGTTCTCACTGCAGGCAGCCATCCACCTCGCTACCTAAATATCCTTCATATAGCTTAAAAAGGCCACACAAGCATGCCTCGACCTGATAACTCTCAAGACACTATAAATGACGCTACTTCGAGCCGCCAGCGACTGACCCCGCGACCGCATTCCAGAATTCTAGCTCAAGACCAGACTGACGAGCTCAAGGAGCCCTTCGCACGACTGTACCCCAACGGTGTACCGAAAGAATACAGCATGTGGCACGAGACCGGTAGCGATCTGCCAGTGAGTTACATCGAGGATAATCTCCCACTCGGCTTCTACACGAAGCCGCCTGTGGACGCGAAAGCCATCTTCTCCACGAGCAGCGGGCAGCGTCCCTTCCGCCACATGCATCACATCTTGCCACGTAGGATGAAACTGCACCTGTGGTCTAAGAATGAGATACAGGAAAATTGCAATTCGATCCGCAAGGCGCATTGGGACGTCATGCAAGGCATGACTGAGCCGCTCTGCTGGGATGATCTTTGGCAGTATTTCGATGCGTTTGATCTATATCACCATGGAGCAATCAACCTCTGGAATATCATCAACCACCTTTACGCTGAGAACAAAATCATTTATATTGATGTGATGAAAACCTGGGCTCTGGAGCTCGGTCGTTGGGCTGACCAGTGGCTCCAAGTAGGAGGCAACGCCGACAAGCTGAAGAGCTGGAGTAATGAAAAAGGTTCTGTCATCCAAATCCTCAATGAGCAAGACTGGGATTCTCTGGGGCCCGTTGAAGATTGCAAAATACCCATGCTGTCCAACGCTCTGAAACACCGCCGTGACCATCTTTTGTCGCCGGCACGCATTCAGACGTCTGAGGCGCGAGATCTCGTCTCTTCCATCAGGAACAAGGGAGGAGTAGAAAACTGGATGAGTAAGTCAACTCCCATGCATTACAAGACAACTACAGCCAGCTTACTTGCGGATTGTAGCCGGCCAAATAACCCATCCCGGAAGTGGACTTCAGGAACACAAAGATGGAGAAACTGTCTCCACGTGCAAAAACTTCAAGGCGCCATGTGTTATTGTTGACGGAAGACACTACTACGGACCACAAGCCCGATCGAAAGGTGCTGTAGAGGCCCTGAAGGCCTCAGTGGAAGCTGCGTCCAGTCATATTGTCGTGGCAAATGGTTCGAGGATGTCGCCCCCAGAATATCATCTGAAGACTAGAACAACCGCCAAGTGTTCCGGCCCGGTGAAGCCTGCTGCACATAGCCAACAGACATGCCCAAGCCCAGATAATGGCTCGGCAACCATAACTCCTTGCACGAGCGGTACTTCTCACTCTGGCTCTCCTCGAAGCAAGTCAGATACTACCGTTCGGCCCAGCCTCCTCCCAAGCCCCGAGATGGACCCTCGCCCTGCTGCTGAATCATGCAGCCTTGCTTCTACTGGCGACTTTGCTGACCAGCTTCAGAGCCAAGCCCCTCCAACTGTTTCTGGCCAGGTCTAGAAGGCTACGCCGACAGTTGGAAGTGAGGAAACCTCTGTGAAGAGTGGAGAGGGCGATCAGCCGGTGACTCGGCACGGGGGGAACAGCAATGCCTCATGCAGCCATCAGCGTCAAACAGGTGGTATTACTTCTGCAGCACACTCCGTCTATGTTCCTTACATTGAGAAGGGAGCCCCAGATGCTGATACGTTTCAAGCCTCTGAATCAGAGCACAAGATTAGGTCTCCGTACAGAGGCAAGCGTACGGACAGCTATGCTTCGCAACACAATTCGTCACCCTCTTCGGGGACGCAGTATGGTGGATTCAATCCGGGGGGCAAGCCATCCTCCAAGAAGTGGAATGCCGACTTTCGACGTCACGAAAATTTTGGTTTGATGCCTGATATTATGCATCGAGACTCATCTAAACTAGGCATGCCGCGAACTGACATTTGGACTAATTCCGCTGCCGCCTCACATTGCCCCAACGCTTTGCCTGGCCTGGATCGTTCCAGCTATATTGAATGCGGCTGCCACGTGTGCGCGCTAAGAAATCGAAGCATTTGGGTTAGAGTAGCCGATAGGCACAACATTCCTGTCATGGAGGTGCAGACCAGGCTTCGCTTCGGCGTTGAGAGTAGATTTGGACGCGTGGAGGATGTGAATTTCGCGGGGCCAAGGGAGAGACCTGGACCGGCGATGAACTTTATTGTCAGGTACTGTTTATATATTCTGTTACTCAAAGTACAAAGTCACTGACCTTCTGTAGGTTTTGCTCGGAGGACTCGGTATGCCAAGCGCTCGCTCATGGGGGCGGTCGCATTGAGGAGAAAGGCATCAAGATTAGCATATCTCCCATGTTTCGATCAAAGTGGATTTTGGCTCCTTCTCAATTTCCAGCGGGCAACCAGCCCGTGCCACAAGACTCCATATACCGAGTTATCAAGGGATCATCCCAGCGCCGTGGCGATTTACCTCTCTTCCAGGACATGAGCATGCCAAGAGGGGGCCTATCTGCGCAGAGAGCACCCTCAGGTGGTCCCTTTGCGTATAACAATCAATCGTTCGGGCAAATGGAATCCAGCCACTTTGGACAAGCTGGGCCCTATCCTGGAAAGAAATCGAGATACCTCATGAACGCAGATGGTAGCTCTCGTGGACATCAGCCATTTCACGCCTTCAACCCACAGGCTCAGTTCTTTGGCCCGATGATGGAAGCTTGCAACCCCCAGCAAGCCGCTCGCATGCATGAGCCAGTTCAACAGACACAAAAGATGGGGAGCGCTCCATTGGCGAGCCATGCACAATCGCGTCCCGTTGCAAAAGAAGTCGTTGGTGAAATCGAAGAAGCAGTCCAATCCACTGTATCGCTGCAGGAGATGACAACGGGCAAGGAAACCATCAAATTCAGAGTTTCTCTGCCGGAAATGCCTGCAAAATCATCGAATATTTCGTATATTACCTTGGGACAATGCCAGTCACAGGATGTGGCCGATCAAACAGTTTCTGATGCTGCTCCTATGCCTTCAAGGGAGAACAGGTCCCCTGTCAAGCAGTCAAAGAAGAAGCGCCAAGCTGCTCAGCCTCGTGCTGCTGATTTCGAGTGCACAGAGCCCACGAAGTCCACCCCCTTCCCCCCTCTTTCCTCTGCCGTGGCCGCCGCCTCTACTGTTACTGTCACTGGCCCTGCACAGCCGCGCGCTGTGAAGCAAGAAGACCGCCGGTCTTCTTTGTTTACAGAAGACGAGATCAAAGAGAGGAAGAAGGCATGGAATAGGATTGCTGTGCCCTTGAGCTCGCCCCGAAAGCAGTCTTTTACGGCGGAGGATACTGCTGTGTCCGCCAAGCCTGGCCATGATCGCACTCGATCACTTCCTGCCACTGTACTCACGCAGTCAATCAAGATGGATGCCATCGGTAATAAGAGCGCCGCAAAAACAACCATCGAGCCCGCCGTGCTCGAGCCTGCCGAGTGTGACAGCAACCTTGGCGCCGACGCCGGCGACTCGGCAACTGCGGATCGTGTATTGACCACGCCGTCCTCTACCTCACCCAAGAAGAGCAGCAAGTCGGGGCGGAAGAAGAAGAACAAGCAGGATCTGCAGCCGAGGGTTCCTTCAAAGAAGGAGTACAAACTGTGAAGGATTCGACGAATGTGGACTTTGCGATTTTGCTAGAGGTGAAAAAGTACTGTGGTTATCTTTGCTTTGAGGTGAAGAGTTAGTTGGTTGTCTTATCAGGAAATTAGAGAACCAGGATAGAAGTGCTGAGAGTTTATTGTTTGTTTCATTGAGAAATGCTCATGAATTGTGATAATGGTACAGTTGTGGCCTTCCTTTTAGCTTCTGATATATACAATGACGTCGCGTTGGATTCGTCAGCCTCCCACTCTTGCCTCACTCGAAACCACGTTATATTCTACCGAGCCTCGCTAATCGAGCAAGCCATACTCGTAGGTTTGGGATCTCAGATTGCCTGTTACTGCTTGACGAGGCCGGTGATGGTGTCTTCAATCTGCTTATCCGTGAGTCCGTCGAGGGACTGGGCCTTTTCGACGCCGAATTCTGCTCGACACAAGTTCGTCAGTAAACAGTTCTTGTAGCGTCGCCTATCCATTCGTATCGAAGGACGCACCGTAGCGCGCAAAGACTTTGGGCACGGTGCCGGCTGCCTCGCGCATCATGATGGGAATGTTCGGGTTGTTCTTCTTCATCGTGGGATACGCCCGGACGAGAAAGTTGCTAAGGTGCAATTAGCCAATCTGTCTCTACACAAATGCGAGGAGGAAGCAAAGAGGCACGCGGCGAGATTGCTCGAGGGCTCGCGGGGCGCCCAGAAGACGGGATGGGATATCAAAGAATTGCCCTCGAGCGTAACCGGCCGCGCATCCGCCGCCATCCTCCCTGGCAGTCCCAATCGCCCTTTGACGCATAAATATTGGTCGTAGCAAGAGGTTGAGTTTTCCCGCCGCATAAAAAAACGTACCGGACGGGCGCGCTGGCTTCCGACGTCTGGCAGAAGAGGAAGCGAAGCTCCTTGAGCGACTTGGCAAAGGTATATTTTCCCGACATTGTTGCTGTGATGTCGTCGAAATGTCGCAGAAGGATCAAGAAATTCGAGCAAAATACGCAAATAGCTCAAAAGTCGCAGGCCCGCGGCGCTCGGTTGGTGTGGTTAAATCGCGGCGAGGGTGTCTTCAATCGGAAGCTTTCGAGACTTCAGCGTTGAGCACTGGGTACACTGTTACTTTTGACGTTGATGGGATTGGCCATGGGTGTGGCGGGTTGCATAAAAAGTAGTGCAAAAGTGGAGATTGCACTCAGATATTGTGCAGCTTTCTGCATAAAAAGCTGGAGTGGTAACTTAACCCACACTCAAAAAGCTACCTAGCGCCGGTGTCGCTGGGCAGTTTATTATCTCTGGGGAGGGCGCTCCACCCCCGAGTTGTTCCTCGACCAGTACCTCAACGTAAATCCAGCGTCTTGACTTCTTGAAGCTTTTTTTCTTCGTCTGAAAGCAGTGAAGCATATCCGTCACCTTTGGCAAACAGGACAGCAATGTGAGTATATACAACCATTCAGTCATTGTTATCGCACAATTCGCAGGGCGTTGCGCATTTCGCAGACGACTTCGAATGTTGGTCAAGCATCCTAGCGAAAAAGAGCCCCATCAACATCTGGAGGAGGAAAGCATCGCGACCAAGACAACAACATTTCCTGTACCACCCGCATTCCTTCCCTTTGCTTCTTCTCACCATCAAAACCAATTCACTCGCCCACCACTTCCCAACGATACCACAAAACCATACTAACCCCTTGTCTCTTCATCAGCATGGCCTCGACGAGCACCATCCTCCGCGCGGCCCGGCCCATGTTCCGCCAGAACGTCTACGCCTCGCCGGCGCGCCAGGCATTTGTCCGCGCCACGCAGCAGCAGCAGCAGCAGCAGCAGGTGATGCGCTTTCGCTTCCAGAACCGTCGATGGCAGAGCTCCGAGGCCGGCGCCGGCGGTGCCGGCTCCCAGCAGCAACAGCAGAGCTGGTTCAAGCGTATGTGGGAGAGTGAAATTGGCATCAAGACGGTACACTTTTGGGCACCCGTCATGAAGGTGCGTTTTATCTATCTAATGCCCGCGATCCGGGGCCTAAAGAGCGACTGCGAGGCCCAGAAGTGAAGATGCTAACGCTTGAAGAATAAACATAGTGGGCGCTCGTCATCGCTGGCATCTCCGACTTTGCCCGCCCCGTCGAGAAGCTGTCCTTTACGCAGAATGCGGCCCTGACCTGCACAGGTCTTATCTGGACGCGCTGGTGCCTCATCATCAAGCCCAAGAACTACCTGTGAGCCTCCCCCCCCGGCCCCCCACGGCGCGCCTGTCTTACTGGAAGATATCTTCGTCCACTGACCACCAAAAACAATAGGCTCGCCGCTGTCAACTTCTTCCTCGGTCTCGTCGGCATCGTTCAGGTCAGTCGCATCCTACTTGCCCGCGGCGCCGCTACCGAGGTCGCCGAGGCGGTGGAGGAAGTTAAGGAAGAGGTCAAGGAGGGCAAGGATCAGATTAAGGCCTAACTAAGAGCGTGCCACTTGAAGATAGTGACTGTAAAGAGGAACATTGAGATTGCAGAGAGAGAGAAAGAACAAATTCCCTGGCAATCGCTGATAGATGGACTTTACGAGTGCCGAAAGGGAGGGCGCGCGGACATTGCGTCTTGCTTCTTGTACACACAAATACAACGTCGGAAACCAGTCCCGACAACCTTAAGTTAATGCTCAATTTTTTTTTCCGTTGGTTGATAAAAGTCCTCGGGAACTCGGTGTCATCCACAGAGTGCTGTGCGCTGTGAAACGAGACAAATCTCGTGCAACGTCTCTTTCATTACTCATCGTTCAGAAAAAGGGAGAGGATAATGAACAATCGTCATTCACATCGGTAGACCAAAATAACAGTAAATGCACACCTATATAGACACCCTCCCCATCTCCGTCAAAAGCGTATGCTTCAAATCAGAAGCCGACGCTCCTCAACTCCACTCTCATCATCATAATCATCATCCAAGAAGATAAATAATCAAATGCAATAGATGACATCAACATGAGTCGATATTAGAGATCGTTCGCTCCCAACAGGCGAAAAAAGGGGGCCAAATTCGATGATTTTCCAAATAGCGCCTTGTAAATAGTGTGTGTGTGTGTACTTGCGGGTATATATCGTCGAAGGGGAGAGAAAAAAGTCGAGGCAATGAATGCAAAGAAAGAAGCACGCTCCTGGAAAAAGCGCCATGCATATGATCCATGTCCCACATTCCGTAGAGACCTCTAAACAAGTTTTGGACAAAAAAAAAAAAAACCAACAGACGGGTGATCACGCCTCGGAATGCTGATCGTTAAGGAGCATCTCAAAGACTATTTGCCGTCCTTGCAGCTCCGGATGGGCCATGGCAATCTTCACCGTCCCTTTGGAGGTGTCGCCCGCCGTGGCCATGTGCCCATTTTGCCCGCGGAGCTGCTGCGCCATGGCCGCGTTCTCGCCCGTCGGCCCGCGGATGCCACTGTCAATAACACGCACGTCACGGCCGGCGATAATCTGTTTAAGATGCCCATTTTCCGCATTGCGCACCTCGACGTAATCCTCGTTGAACAGCAGCAGGTACTGCCCGTACATGGTCGCCCCGCGAGCCTTCTTCTGCTTGCCCGTATACTCCATGATGAGCGTGCGCGACACGGCGCCGTGCTTGTCTACGTACAGGGCGCAGTCCTCGTACGTCACAATAAACTCATTCTCGTTGAGCTTAAACATGCCCAGAGGCTTCTGGTCGCGAATCCGGCTCGCGATGTTGGCAATCGCTGGCGCCTTGAGGTCCGGGATCGACATGGGCACCTTTTTCTCCAGCGTCAGCATCTCGACGCCCTTGGCTGTCGCAACTGCGATCCACGTCTTGAAGACGCTCAGAGAGTAGCACTCGACTGGGAAGGTGAAGTCATCGAAATCGCGAAACGTGTCCGTGCTGCCCTTCGCCGATTTGCGCCCGCCAAAAATGCGCGACCGCTTCTCTGTTGCCTTATGGTACAGCGGCTCAACAACTTTGAATGACATGTGCATGCCCTCCTTGCGCTTGTAAAAGACGAGCGTACGATCATTCATACGCGCTGTGGCAAAATACGAAACGTCTTTGGAGAGGCGTTGCGGTGCGCGCCGCGAATTTTCTGAAGTGGGCGGCGCAAACTCGGATACGGGCGCAAGGACGTCGAGAGGATACGAGATGAGTGCTCTGTCAGCAATGACGAGACATATGTTGAAGTCCTCCAGCACAGCGAGCTGTGTTATCTTAGTCGCCTGTATCGTTCGTGTCCACCCGCGGGGATTGGAGGGGTCGGATATGTAAACACCGTAATCCGTACCAATGGCAATCAACGTCTTGCCAAAGGCGGAGAATCCCGCGGCGCAGTTGACTTGCGCGCGGCAGACGGCCGGCACGCCATGCGCGGAGCCCAAAACGCTCTCCAAGTCCTGGATGGCGCGATCCAACGGCGTACCCTTCACCGGAACGCTCACGCTCCTGGCGTGAGGCGAGCCGGCGTCATAGTGGAAGGACGCGTCTGCCAGCACACGAAGTCTGAATGGCTCAGCATTCTGCGAAAACAGAGCCTTGGCATGCATAGTCTTGGCCTCGATAATCTTGTTGCACCAATTCGTGCGGTCGCGTAGAGACAACGCATACAGCGTGTATACGTCGTGGCCCAGATGCTTCACCTTGAAGGGGTAGAGAATCTTGTTCTCGGCGACATCGTTGGTTTGCGCCTGCGTCATACTTGTTCCGGAAGAGCCCGTCGAGGTGTGATCCAGCCCAGGCCTTCCGCTGCCGTTGCTGCTGACCTTGCTGAGCTGGTGACCAGCCGCGCCAGCCGGTGCTGTACGGCCCAGGGGTGCAGTTATGCCCTTCGTTTTGATGTAAGGGTCGTCATTATTGCTCTCGAGGAAAAGCAGTGGCATAGGAACAGGTTCTCGGGACACGTCGTACTTCTTCTCTGACTTGCCATCTTTGCCTCGTACCACCTTGGCAACTATAAAGTAATGATCGAAGAGCAGCGCGTGCGTGTCCACCCATCGCACACCCTTGGAGCTCTGTCGCTGCAACTCGCCCTGTAGAATCAGGGTTCTACCTTGCTGTTTGAGGTTCAAGACTGACTGAAAACCAGGACGCAGAACAAGCATGCGGTCGAGCCCCCACATTTCGACACGCCTGGTGGATTCTGCGATCTTGGCGTCGCACTCAAGCGTGACCGTCTTGATCTCCTGGATTGCCTTTTGCAGATTGGTCTTTTCCTCGCTATCACTAATCATCTTGCCCTCCACAGTCTCTAGAAGTAGAGTGTATCGCGGCATACGCTGCAGAGGCTGGAACAGGAAATGGGTCCAGTCCTGCTTCTCCGACGACTTGTGCCTTTGCTTGTCTTCCAGGAACTTTCGGAACAGCAGATTACGCGAAGCCTCCTTTTCGACCAAGAACTTAGCGCGCGGATAGCCAGTTGCATACTCGATATAGACCTTTTTCGCTTTTCTTATCCATTCGCGGAAGATGTCGCTGAAGCCCACGATCCACGGGCCCTGCTCCTTCTGGCGGTACTTGAGATGGGCCAAGAGATGACCCTTGTTGATTTGTACAACGTCGTCGATCTTGCCAAAGACGTCCACTAAGAACTGGTCTCGCTTATTTGGGTGGATGATGGCAGGCTGACGCGTGCGCAAGTCATCGCGGTAAAGAGTGCGGAAGATTTCGAGATTCTGGATGTAATTTTCTTCAGTAGTGACAATCTCGTGTAAATTGTTCTGGCGATCGACTTCCTTTTTGGGCTTAGAGTCCAAATCCTCTTTCGAAAGGCCATAGAATATGTGCCAGTCATCCGCCGGCTTGGACTCTTGGCTGAAGACGTCCAGGTCCATCTTCTTGAGCGTTCGGGTGCAGTGCATTGAATAGCACCGCCCCGGCGTATTGTATTCGTGTAATTTGGGAGCATAGCAGCCGGTTCCAGTAAGCTGCCACAGGACACCAGATATGCGACCATCACCAAATTTGACCCATTCTTCCTCAGGTACAAGAACGCCAGCATGCAGCATGGTAGCAAGCACGGAACTGCTGAGCACCTCGGCATCTGCCACATTCATAGTTGGTACTTTGGACGTAAAGAGTGCCGTCAGACCGTCTTCCACTGTCTTGCTCTTCAAGTCAGCCTCACCAAGAGCCATCTCGCGTATCCATAATTCGATGTTGCTGAGCGCCCAGGGCTCCGCACAGCGCAGAAAGTCGGCTGGTCCAAGCTTCGCTGGCAGAAATTTCTTTTTGCGACCATTGGGCAGCGTAATGCTGTCAAAAGCCCCGATAGATGTAGCTGCTGAATCGTAGTCACCGGGTCCTGGGCCGCCAAATGATGAAGGGTGGCGAAGGTGGCCTTGCCTTCTGCGGTCTTCAGCGGCGTCAGTCTTGGAGCGAATAGGTTGCTGTATAGACGGCGCATTGCTGTGGCTGGAGAGGGAAATGGATCGCTCTGGCTGAAGAAGATGGCTGTTGCCGCCAGTGTAATAAGATTCGGGGCCATCAGCTCGCAGAGATCGTCCATCGATGCCGAGAGCGTGGGACTGAGACCGCTGCGGTTGACGGAGGCTGCTTTGCGTTGACAGCAACGAGCTGCTGTCTGAGCCGGGAGGAGGTGGAAGAGGCCGATTGGTGAGACCTGGATGATAGAATAAATCCTGATAGTCGTCTTGCGCAGGAGACTCTCCACCGCTTTGGTGTGAGTCGAGTGACACACGGTCCGGACCAGAGTCAAAGCTGCGGCGTGTGGGCAGCTGAAGACCACCAGTGTCGCCATAATCCATCGCTGCCTGCTTGAAAGCAGGCGCGTCTTGGTAACCTGCACGCGAATTATCAAAGTAGCTCGGCGTCGGCAGCGGTCGTTGGCTGGAGGGCGAGCGTGGTGGGAGCGCGTCGATATTGCCATAGTACCCGCCTGAGAGACCGGCCAAGTCAACACCGGCGAACTCGCTATCATCGCTGCTATAGTCCTGCTCTTCAGGGTGGGGTGGGGGATTCTTTTCGTCTGGCATGGCGGGCATTTCGGCGTAGCCACCAAAGCCGGATGAGTAGAGCTGGTCGCCTATGCTTGCATTTGCCTGCTGCAGAGCAATCGCGCCGGCTGCGGCCTCGTCGTCGTCGGTACCGTTAGCGTATGACTGGTTGGAGGCGCGTCTCTCGTCGGAGAAGCCTGGTGTGGCGGAGTTCGAGCTGAACTGGCGATACAAGTGCGCTTGATCCTCGGCAGTACGACCATCGATTGGGGCTGGCCGAGAACGTCCTGATATGGCAGTCTCGCTAATAGTATTTTCAATCTCCTCGAGGATGCTGTCGGTGGTGATGCGCTGGTCGACGCTGTCTCTATCCGCTGCGGCCGTCGAGTTCCAGGTCGACTCGCCAGGCCGGCGGGGAAGGGGAGCGTTGGTGGGATGTCGGCGCAAACCAGGAGAACCGAGAGGTTGGATATACGGGCTAGCACCGCTCTGAGAAGACTGCGAGCCGGGCCTTGCGGACTGGCCATTATATAATGATTGGTCGTTGGAGGCGTAGGCAGGCCCAGCAGGTATTTGTGATGCCGTTGGATATGGCGCAGTCATCGCAGTGTACTGCATATCTTGCTGATCGACGCCATTCGTAGGATACTGATATGGCGCCGATGAGTAATGCGAGGGATCGTAGGTGGTAGGCGTCGGAACCTGCGAGGATGTGTACGAGGTAGTCGGGCTCGTAGTCGAGTACTGATAGCCAGCCGACAGGCCTGGTGAATGGATGGACTGGGAAAAGGCATGCGAGTAGGTTGAGGCGGGGGACTGCCCGTAGACAGTGGCATTGTCGTAGCTACTGTAGCCGTGATAGGTGGGCTGTCGCTGGGGCGCATTGGCTGTCTGGGCGTAGGCGGCGGGGTTGTAGGACTGGGGCGTATACGATGTCGGCGGGGATGTGCCGCCATAGACGGCCGCGTTATTTGCTGGTGCGTGCGGGTAATAGGAGCTGGTGGTGGCGGACTGGGACCTGGTGAAGCCACTCGGGGCGGCGGCGGCGGCAGCGCCGTTGGCGACATAGGTTTGGGGATTGTAGGCGGGGGCGGCGGGCGGCTGAGCGGCGGGATCATGAAAACGGTGCTGGAAGCCGGCGAGTGGGCTAGTCGAGGAGGCAGTGGTGGAGGGACTGGTGAGAAACAGCTCGTCGTGGCCGGCAGGGGCAGAGGGCTGAGCAAAGTTGGGCCCGTTGGCGTCGAAGGGTGCGGCGTGATGGGAGTAGTAGGCGCTGGTGTTGCTGTCGTCGCCGGTGTTGAAGCTGGGCTGCCTACTGAGATTGCGTGTTTGCTGCTGGTGATGCTGCGGCGACTGGTGGTGTTGCTGTGCGGAATAGGGTCCCGACACGGGGTACTGGACGGGGGGGACAGAGCCGTAGCGACGCTGATCGTCGCCGCGAAACGACATAATGGCGATGGTGGGGGTGGTGTTTTGAAGAAATATTTGGAAAAATTCGGAAGCAAAAGAGAGTGAGGAGAAGTCGTGAAAAGTGAGAGGAAGGGCTGAAACCTCGACGAGACTTGGCCTAGGTCGAGGAGCAAGCAGGTAGCCGGGAGATGCTCATTGAAGAGAGGGCTTTTTGTCGAGGCTGGCTAAGCGGACGGGTGCGTTGGGCGGCGCGATGGCGCTGATGCGGGCAGCAGGAGCAAGTAGAGACGACTCTTGATGGGTATCGAGGAGAGGAGAGTCGTGGGTAGATGTATAATGATGCAGAGCCATATGCGTCCGGAAGGGCCAAGATGTACGCAGTTTGTCGAGTAGAGTTTGTTGATGTTGATGTGTTTGGCAGTTTTTGGTCGGTGTCAACGGTCGGGTTCGGTTCAGCCGGCGGGTGGGGATTTGATGAGGAGGCTGTAGCCAAGCTGAGAGCTGTCAGCTGTTTGTCCTTGGGAAGGAGCTATGTGCTCGACAATGGGGGTAAAGGAGTTGCAAGAAGAATAGCGAGAGGTCGTTGAGGACTGGCTACTTGACTTGTGGGAGAAGTATGAATCAAGATCACAATAGAAACCATGGCAAATTAGATGATGTCTTTGTCTCCGCAGCGTTGGCTTTGGCGGGTGAGAATCCATAGGTAGGTCGGTTCCTACATACTCGGCGTGCTCGGGTACGAAGACAGCTTGGAGCTACCTTGTTCCTTTTCGCCCACCCTGCACTGCCTATATACTCAAAGTACCGCTCTTTTCAAAGTACCTTTTCGGGTCCTTTCACTGCCACCAATTCATACCTAAGTACTGGCTCGGTTTGACGTCTGAGACATCAGACGATTCGCAACAAGAGGAACACATTGATTACTTTGTCAAAATTATTGCGTCAAAATACTCTTTGCATCTGCTACCATCATCTCTTCTCGACAAGCAGGTGCAACTCACAAGCACGTGCGTGCCTATCTCCCAGCCTCGCCCATTACACTGGATGCAGAGTGCAGGGGCGCAGAGCTTGGCGGTTAATACAACGTTGGCCTTGATTTCTGCTTCTGTCTATTTATCATTGACTCAGCACTCAGCCCAATCCAGATTGTTGGGTTCCCCATCATCATCTCAAACTCGCACCGACGCACCCTTCTAGGCCACACATGCTCCCACCACGAGATGACACCTATTCTGTCCCAACAGGCTGACCTTGAAGTCTTCTCCGTCACTCTATGGTAAAGAATCATGAATGAAAGATTTCAAATGCCCATGTCATAGATGATAGCCCTGCCGCGTCCTGGGCAACCCGCACGCGCCGTAGAGGGCCACATATCCCAGAGAGGCTCATTCATCACTAGTAATATGGACTACTCCTCGCACAGTAGAAGCAAGTGAAACCACTCCTTAATACCCCGTAAATCTGTCCCATTTCTGTATAACAAATTGGTACTTTTCCCACTTCATCTTTCGGCTTACCCAAGTTTCTGCTATACACAACAAGAACAACACCGTTAATCCCCACAACACCACTGAAACCCCAGTCGTGGCATCTGCTCGGTGGTTTTGCTTGCAACGTCCCTGTTTTACCTCCCCCCCTCCATCTACGTATTCCGCCTACGCAAGGCGTCTTTCATTACGCTGCAGCCAGATTTCTGACACAGCTCGGCGCGTGGAATTACATATCTACAAGCCAAGATCAATTTTCAAACCCCAAATCCTGGCAGTACTAGTAATAGTTCTGAGCAACGCCAAGGATCCGCGTGTCTCGCGCCGGGCCCCGTAACCCCATGTTCAACCCCCCTGCATCGGCAGAGCAGCCCCAGAAGTAGAACAGCCTTGTCTGGCCAGAATGCACCGGCAAAGACATGATACCATTTTATAAGCTGTCGGCTATAATGAATATCTCAGCAATTAGATTGTCGTTTCTGTCCATATTTTTGTATGCACATCTATCAGACGGGATCCCGTCTCATTGGCCTTATCTCAAGGTATGATCTAGGCCCGCACTACTTCCCGTGTAAAGTACGCCTTGCGATAAACACAGCAACAATAGCATATCGTGACTGCAAACAATTCTCGATATATGATGCCTTGAATACATTGCATTCATCTCCCTTTGACTGAACCCGACTTGCTGAAACCGGCTCTTCGCACGTACATGGAATACCCAAACTTTCGTTGACCATCAATTACCACAACAGCTCCTTACCACCCTCCATCACAAACTTTCCTCCCAATTCCTCCACCCTGTCCGCAATCTCCAGCACATGCCTTGCGCTCTCCTCTGCGCTCAACGTTGGCCCTTTCTCATCCGGCACCCCCCACGACCTTGCCGCCGTGCGCCCCATGCGCGTCCCGACCCATCCTGGGTGCACCGCGACACCCGTGATGCCGTCCTCCCCGCCGAGCTGCTCGTGCGCCGCCTTGGCGATCCAGTTGGCTGCCGCCTTACTCGGTCCGTACGCACCGCCGGCCATCGGCTCCATCATGCCGATCGAGCCCACCGACGAGCTTACCAGCACGTATGCGCCCTTGCCCCCCCTTCCCTTGTTCACTCGCCCCTTTGTCATTAGCGGCCACAGCGCCTGAAGCGTCACCAGCGGCCCGATAGTGTTGATCTCGTGCAGCTCTCGCATCTGCGCGGCCGTCGTCGTCAAAATTCCCTCCATCGTCATGGTGTGGCCCGCGTTAGCCACCAGCACGTCCACGTGCTCGATGCCGTAATCTGACAGAGCCGCATCAAACGCATGCACAATGTCCTCAGCCTCGAGACCGGCAGAGTAGTCGAGGAGAACGCTGAAGAGCTTACTCCCGGGGCCGCGCTCCACGCTGACCGTGCCGGCGTAGAGCTGACCCCGCGCGTCGTCCGTTCGCACGGTGCCGACGACGGTCGTCTGCGGCCGCGCGAGTAACCTCTGCACCATGCAGAGGCCGATGCCGCGATTGGCACCCGTTATGACATATACTGTGCTTGAATCTGCCATTGTAAAGCGCGAATAGTTCACGAGTTCGATTCGGGCAAGTTCCGCAATATGGTCGAAATTGGCGTCTGTGTCGACAATGAGCGCCACAATTGGTAACGTAAAGAAAAATTCCAAGCAATGAAGGTTCCCTTACGAGCCGAATCGAAGAAGACAGAATCGAAAACTCCTAGTCCTGCACTTGGTGAAGGTGTAAGTGGAAGAGTGCGTGTAAGTCATGGCCGACAAGGGGATCTATGTGGGTTAATTAGCCGACCCTCACACTTCGGGCACTCCGCAAAGGACCGCAAGTCAGCCACCCGTAAATGGCATCATATTTAGCGCCAAGTCAGGAAGTTCGGCCGAAATGGAAGTTCAAAAATATGTTACTATATACACCAGGTAGCCAATACCCATGTATTGCCGTAAATGCTCGCCGCTTCACTCATCTCCAAATACGCCAAAGAAGAAAGCAGGGCTAGAGCCGCCGTCATTGCTACATGAATCCATATCCTCGTATATTCGTGGGCTGCATTATGCTACCGCTTTCCATTTCCCGCTGCTATATCAGCAGCAATTTGTTCTGCGTAATCAAAGAAACCAGGTCTCACGCTGTTCCACTGCGTTGGGTCGCTGGGATGCAGAGATTCGGCACCTTGGCCGTGCATGGCCCATTTGGTCAATTTGACGGGGCCGCCAATGTGAAACATGAAGGCCATTGTGCCCTTGCAAATCTTGACCGGCCCAAGCTCCTGGTTGCTGGCAGATTTCCAGGTTTCATAGGTCTCGCCGTGCGGCATGTAGGCCGCCTCGTAGCTGAGACCACCCGGTGCCAGGACGTGACTGCTGCCACCATACTCGCCGAAGACGAGTCCCATAATCTCGGTGCTCATGTTCCGGTGGTAGTAGGGCGGGCGAAATGTGCCTTCAGCAGTGATCCATTTTTCAGTGAAGATCAAGAATTCGCTCAAAGGCGTGTCTTTCTTGTTTGATTTGACAGAGAGGACAGTGTACAGTGTTGGATCAGCTTGGTCTTTTGTTGAGTTGACCAAGCTGATGAATTCATGCAGGTCATATTTAACGGGTACGTGATTGCCATGCCAGGCAACGACGTCGAAGGGGGTATGCTTTTGCTCGCATCTGTGCAGCGAGCCGTCCATCTTGTAGATAATGGACCAGGGCTTTTCGTCAATGTCGTAGCGAGCAAGCGGAGCGCAGTAATTCCGCTCCATAGACATGCCGTTGGGGCCGATGACACCACGTTCGGGAAGATCATGTTGGGCGGCAAAAACTTCGTGGATGTAGCCTCTTGAAGGCCCATCGGGGAGTTTTACACGAAATCGCATGCCGCTGGGCATGAGAAAGACCTCACCGGGACGGACCATGAGCGGCCCAAGCTCAGTGGTGATATCCAGTCGACCTTGCTGGGGGAGGATGAGCATCTCTCCGTCATTGTTGCAAAATGCCTGTCTTTCCATGTCGGCATTTGCCGAATATGTGTGTACAGCGAGGCCTTCTTCAAGACCAGCATCTCCTTTGCCGCCGATGGTGCGGATGCCCTGCACAAAGTTGATTGACTTGGCATCGCCGCGGGAACTCGTAACCGCTGGGATGGGAAAAGGGTCCCAGGCCTGCTGGGAAGCACACGACTCAACTTTGGGGTTTGGTGAAAGAAAAGAAGACTCAATCTACGTTGGGTGAAGCAAGATGTCAGTTCTAGAGGCGTGTCATGTATGGGCGGGACTACTTACATGCTCATTAATGCTGGGGTCAAGACGAATAGGGCCATGCGCTACCGATGGACGAATGCGGTACATCCAGACGTGGCGAATGTCACTGCGCTTTGCATTGACGGCGGATCCGTTGAGCTGCTCCGAGTAGAGGTCATACTTGACTTTTTGGGGTGTGTTCTGTGACCAGGAAATGACCCCTGGAAGTGCCTGGCTGATGAAACGATTACCAAATCCTGTCGTATAAGAATAGGGATCATTAGCCGTGGGTGACTTGGTGAATTCCGCCTTGGCCGTCGCCGTTGGGGGAAGCGGGTTTAGATCGGGCCTTATTGCAAGTGAAGCCATAATGGAGCGAGGTAGCTACCAACGGAAAGTTGAGATGATGGAGCACGAGCTCGCGTGTGTGATTGTTTCAACAAAGACGCGAGGGAAAGTCTCAGAATGGAGGGCTGATGAATGACATGGACATGATGAACAAAACAACACGAAGAGAGTGAGAGAGAAGAGGTAGGTTATGGCAAAACATTTATCAACTATTTACGGGAAAGCTTCGTGTTGTGTTACCCCCCCCACTGCCGGCTACGGTACCTACCTATCTGGAGCCCTTCACCTGGGCAGGCAAAAAAAAACAGCAGCTACCTTGATTTCCGGCGTTGAAGTGGGAACAAAAGGCTTGTTGGGTTAGCACGCTACACAGGTACCTCGTAGGTAGGCAGGTAGGTACAGTGGGGTACAAAAGGTTAGTTGTTTTTCTTGATTTACGGCAAAACTTATACTTTTTAAATACTTCTATTAAATTTAAATTAAATCTTAAAATTAAGAAAAAAGTAGATTATAATAGAGATTTACTAGATCTATACTCCTATACTAGATAATAAAGCTTATAACTTATAATTTTAGTAAAAAAACTTTATAAAAGTAAAAGATAGTATTTTTTTTTTTAAAAAATCACTATCCCCTATAACTCACTATAAGTCTACTATAAGTAAAAAGTAAACTTTTTATCTTACTTTTATATTTTCTAGAGCTTTTATTATAGAATAAAATTATATAGTGTCTTAGTATTAAATAAAACTTAAGTAATTATCTATCTTATATACTTTTTTTATAATTATTTATTTATAGTAGAAAGTAAGCTTTATCTTTTAAAAGTACGTGTTTTAGTGGGAAACGAGAGAATATAACTAACCTTTTATAGGGTGCTGTAGGTAGGTGTTACGAACGCTACTATATAGATGTAGGGCTAAGCTAGACTATCTAGGTAAACACGCCTATAGCCTAGTTAGAATATAAGGTTATATAATAGCTTATTAGATTATTAAGATAAGCTAATAATATAAGATTATTAAAATAGTTAAATAAGCCTTATAAGCTAGGTCTATAGTAAAGAGATAAATAAGTACTTAAAGAAGAGGTATTCTTATAGCTAGTATTACGAACGCTACAGTATATACGCGGGGCTGAGTAAGGCGGACCAGGGTCTAACACACCAGCACCTAGAAAGGATAAGGAGGTTACGTAACCT